CTTACATTTTACAACTCATCACTGCCAAGATGCCGACCAAATATGTAGTCATTCTGTCCAGAAAAGTGTAACGATTTTTTTTTAGGACGAACATACAGATGGATGGACAAGGTGATTGCAGAGTTTGGATAATATAATAACAACATGCTGGTTCAATCAATGAAGCAAGTTCCATGAAGATATTGTTAACATTATTTTAAATCATTTGTTGTTGGACTTTTTGGATCAGCACCAAACTTTCTATTGACAATACCAAAACAAATAAAATAAAAAAGTATAAATGAACAACTATGTATAATATAATGGTGGTATAATAAGGTCAATGTGATATGTTAGTCTTTTTTATCATCAAACTAAACTTTCTTCAAGTTTAGTTAAAGTCTGTTTCGTATACATGTATTCTAACTATCCATTTGTTTCTAAAAGAGGTACGAAAGATACCAGAGTGACAGTCAAACTCATAGATCGAAAACAAACTGACAACGCCATGGCCAAAAATAAAAAGACAAACAGACAAATAACAGTACAGATGACACAACATAGAAAACTAAAGACTAAGCAACACGAACCCCACCAAAAACTGGGGGTGATCTCAGGTGCTCCGGAAGGGTAAGCAGATCCTGCTCCACATGTGGCACCCGTCGTGTTGCTTATGTTATTACAAATCCGGTAAATAGTCTAATTCGGTAGGTCACATTCGTGAAAAGGGAAGGGAATTGTAGTTACGACATAAGGAACATATCTGATATCATCTGTGAAACGGTTATTCCATAACGATCAACCAACTCGTGATGGCGTTCGTAAAATTTACGAACATTCCACATCAGTATGTTTTCACATCATTATCTGTAGTTCTGCGAATGATACCTTGTATAGTTAAAGACATGAAGTGCATGTTAACAGGGAAAATATGTCTTAAAATTAATCATCTAATGTGCTATAGAAATAAAAAGAGATTAAAAATGTACTTAAAATATTTGCTTTCAATGCTGGTGAAAATTTTAAATATATACAGACTTGTTCATCTTTATAAAAAAAATGCTACAGTAATTGATTATACTAAAAACATCAATTTCCTTCCTGACAAGCATATGTGAAAGATATACAAGTACTTTCTGTTACTTATTAAAAGTACAGTAACTCAAATGACTAAAAGTTTACTGCATTATATGTGATCTTAATGCAGAAATATACACTTCTATGATTCCACCATTTTGAAAATAAACAAATTTATTTGGACAATTGTCTTTAATAAATAATTGTTTAACTGATTTGTTGAATTATTGCCTAATTAGCATATTTCTCATATCTCCAGTAATTCATATATATTAACATCTTTCTAAATTATTAAAAGTTCAGGTACATGTTTCATCCTTAGGTTGTGGTTGTTTCAGAAAATACTATGTCCCCCATGGAATGCATAACATGTGTAAAAAATAAAAATAACGAAAATACCGAACTCAGAGGGTAATTCATAACGGAAAGTCCTTTATACAATGGCTATATCAAAAGATGTAACTCATTAAACGAATGGAAAACAACTGTCATAGTCCTGACTTGGTACAGACATTTCCTTATGTAGGAAATGGTGGATTAAACCTGGTTTTATAACTAGCTAAACCCCTCACTTGCATGATAATGGCATATAATTCCATTATATTGACAACAATGTGTGAGCAAAACAAAGACATAATAGGTGAACATGTCAAAAATTGGGCAATTAGGTTTTAAAGATTAGAAAAGGGAAACTTATACATATGTTTGATACTTAAGTAGTAATGTAGTACTATAACTCATAATTTTTAACATTAAAGATACATTTGTGTATATTGAGTACAAAGTTGTTTTTTGGTCCAATGACTTGATGACAAAATTACATGAATACCAGCCATGTGCCAAAATAAACTTTCCTGTCGTCCACAAAATATATGCAACTTTAATTACGGTATGCACTTTGTCTGTGTGGTTTGTAGGACGAAATTAGTTTCGAACATGACAATTGAAAACAAAATTTAAAAAAAACTATTAAATTAAAAAAAATTCATTCAGCTGTTAAACGGTCATATATTTACAATGTAAACAAATGTTTCTTTTTTAAAAAGTTATGTGATATGACAATCATATTTTTTATTCATTTCTTATCTAGATTTCAATAAAATTCAAAATTTAAGTTCTCATGTGAGTCTTGACTCCATTCTAGATTTAACTTATACTATAAAAATGAGATGTGGTATGATTGCTATTGAGACAACTATTCACCAAAGTTAAAATGAAGTAGCAGTTATCAGTTATAGGCCGTACGCCTTCAACAATTAGAGAAAAAACCATACCATATTGTCGGTTATAAAAGGCCCAAACATGAAAAATGTTTAATAATTCAAACTAGAAAACTAACGGCTTACTTTGTAACAAAAATATTTACGAAAAGCAAATATGAAAGGCACGAACCAAGGACAACCACTGTAATACAGGCTCCTGACTTAGGACAGGCACATAATGAATGAGGCAAGGTTAAACATATTTGTGAGCACTCAACCATCCCCTAAAATGGGACAGTGGTCTTACAGCAAAACATTAGAACAAACTGTAAAAATCAGTTGCAATAGGCTTAACTCAAAAGATCGGTACGAGGCAAAAAAAAAAAAAAATAAAAAAATAACTAACATTTAAATATGCAATAGACACATAGAACCGATATAAGAGTACTCGCAGTTACTGAAAGCTAGTTCAAAGTAAATTACAACTAAAAGATAAATTATGTTCTCCCAGACTAAAACTAAGCCATATTAAGTGTGCTGCAAGTAATACAAAAAATGTTCACCAACTTCAAATATAAAAAAAAAACAAAAACAAGATTGCTACAAAGTAGCTATAATATCCCCCACTAATATATTTCGTGCTGGAATATCATTGATATGAATGTTACGTTTGGAGGACATGTTTTACAACAAACAATCGGTATTCTCTTTATTCATACGAGAATGACTTAATACCAGTTTCTTATAAAGAATAAAAAGAATCTAGCATTATCCTTTAACGTCACTTTCCAATATAGCAGATGTCCTCTCACTAAATAATTCAGTTTGGTGTCTAAAGTTGAACTATACCAACGAATTTGAAATTAAGGATACAACAGATGCGTTTAAGTCTTCCAAATATCTTGACTTATATCTAGAAATTGATAATGAGGGTCGGTTGGGAACAAAACTTTACAACAGAGATGATTTCAGCTTCCCAATTGCGAACATTCCATTTCTATGCAGCAACATTCCAGCAGCGCCTGCATATGAGTATATATCTCCAAGTTGATACGATATTCCAGAGGTATCATATTTGTTTTTCGTTCATTATTTTGTACATAAATCAGGCCGTTAGTTTTGTCGTTTGAGTTGTTTTACATTTGTCATTTCAGGGCCTTTCCATAGCTGACTATGAGGTATGGGTTTTACTCATTATTGAAGGCCGTACGGTGACCTATAGTTGTTAATTTCTTCATTTGGTCTCTCGTGGAGAGTTGTTTTCGGTCCTTATACATCCTTGACTTTCAAATATTCGGCTTTGAGCGTTCCTGATGAAGGTAAATTCAGAAAAGCGCATCAAATTTATAACGTGTTGTTTTTATTTTTTTTGGTCTAATTTGCATTCATACCACATCTTCTTATTCTTTAATATATTAGCATTTCCTATCATGATTTCCTTGATAGAGGTTTTCTGCTTACAAGAAAACTATTAAACTAAGAGTTCCTTGCGGTGAAGTTAAAATCGTCCCTTTGAAATTTGTATGGACGCCATAGATTGAACATTCTGGAATATGTTTCACAGATGACAACGGTTATGTTCAAATTATCGTAACCACAATCCCGTCCTCTTATCCTCGAATGTGACCTACCGAATTAGACTTATCACCGGGTTTGTACTACTACTAACACAAGCAACACGACGGGCGACGGGCGTCACATGTGGAGCTGGATCTGCCTACCCTTCCAGCAAGACTTGAAATCACCCCCAGTTTTTGGTGGGGTTCGTGTTCCTTGGTCTTTAGTTTTCTGTATTGTTTTTTGTACACTGACGTTTGTCTTTTGATCGTTTTTTGTTTTAGCCATGGCGTTGTCACTTTGTTTTCGATTTATGAGTTTGAATGCCCCTTTGGTATCTTTTGCCTCTCTTCTTTTTCTTATGTTTATAAAATGCTGAAATTTTCAAAACACTTAGGTTTTTCTTCCCTTGGGTATATCTTACCATAGTCGTAATTGGCACACCTTTTCTGTTATTGGTGCTCTTCAAATTTGTATTTGGTATGGCCTTCATTGTTTTGATTGAGCGCCACCTATGGGTCTTATTTAGACAAAACGTGAATCTGTCGTACCAAATTATAAGCCTGGTATCTTTAGTGAGTTTCTACTGGAATTGTCCATATCACTTACATATCCACTGGGCATTACTCATGTAAAATACTAATGATCAAATGACATAGATATTGCTAATGTTAACCAATCACATAACGTTCATTAAATTCTGATGATAAATATAGATAAGAATGCATTTATAATGTTTTAATTAATTATTTATATTCCAATGACATAACTTCATAAATAATATTAGACAGGCGCTGATTTTCCAACTCGTCCAATATATTGATATAAAACTTTAAGGTTAGCTTATTAGAGAAAAGAAGGTGTGAGAGCACTTCCAATATTGAATTTTCATATAATTTACCTCATCTTTTTACTCTAGATCTGTAAATATATATTCGATTATAGCGGATGTCAGGACAATTTAGAGCCTGACAATTATTATATAGACTCTTGTCTATTGTTTAAGGCTGTATGTTGCCCTCTTAGATGTCTTTTGTGGTTATTTTGTAGTTGGTTTGACCTATACTTAACATACCTCTAGCATGTAGATACAGGTTTCATTCCACAAAATTTCAAATTTAGATGAGAGAAAAACTGCAAACCAAAAAACAGATGTTACTCTGTGGTCACAAGAGAAAAATCAAATACTTTATTAAAAAATTTATTGCACATGAAATAAGACGAATAATGAATGGTCCACTGTTCATAAATATGCCATAAATAAATGCCTGAGAGTCACAATCATCAATTACCATTTCGATAGATTTTCTTGAGTTCATTAAATAAACTTGTCAGAATAGGGTTTCCTCCATGCTGCTCTATCAACTCTAAAGATCTAAACAAAAAGAAAGAAAATAATCATAAGACCTATATGGTCATTTGAAAACATATTATGAACTTATTAAAAATTGAAAAAAATAATATATTGACATAGCATAAACAGGTTAATTAAAAACTAATGCATTATACCCTAAAATAACAGAATAAAAATCCCTTTCTAACTATATTTGAAAATAAAAATGAGACCAGAAAACATAACATTGAAAGTTATAGGTCATTCCCCAAAACAGAAGAAGTTCACAAGAATCAATTTAAGGTAGATTTTGTGAATCAATCTTTAATAATTTATACAATTCAACATTTTTATTAATTAAACAGCCTAAATAAGTGCATTATATGCCTGTCCCCCTTATTTAGAGAATATAAGGCCTGCAAACCTAGAACATCACATCTGAAAATCTTTCTATATTTTGACAACTTAAGTCTGAATTATTGAATTGAATGTTACATTTAACGCTAAATATAGTTAATGAAGCCTGCAATGCAAGACATTTGTTTAACTGTTATACCCTTCCAGATACTATGTTCATCCAAGTGTATGATTGCCCATCACATTGTATCTGAGAACTGAATTCAAATGAAAAACTTTATCTAGGTCTGTAAAACAAAATGTCAGTCAGAGAACCTTTCTTTAGTGGTAAGCTGTATTTTCCCCTAAATTCATCTAAGCACCAAGTTATATATAAATGTAGGTCACTTAGTATCTTAGAACCAAGAGTGAACGTAAAATTTAACCATTGTTAAAGAAGCATGAAATAAAGGTCAGAGAGGGAAGTTTTTCTTCATTCTCTCATCCTTCCAATAAGTGATGAATAAAGCTCACTTTGTAGTTAGAAATCAAATTTGATTTAAAACTTTTACAGGTTAACAGTGAAATATGGGTCATATGACCTTCAACTTAGGTCACATGGTCCATCACAACAAGCTGCATATGCATATAAAATTATATGACTGCATATCACTATGTATCTTGAAATTTAGCTGTAGATGTGCATACCAAGGATACTTATCATTCAACTTCAGCTGATAACTTTAAAAGTACAATTGGGGTTTACAGCAATCACTTGCAGGAATAGATTAACTTAGCTTTGATTCGAGCATCACTGATGAGTCTTTTGTAGACGAAACACATGTCTGGCACACATGTTACTCATCATTATCAAACTGCTGACCAAATATGAAGTCATTCTGTTTAGAAGTACTGAAGAAATATATGACAAATATTTTTAAGTTCACTCAACATATTGAAATTTTCAAAGTATCTGCAATCAGGAAGTAGGTTTCTCACAGATCACAGATAGTGCTTCCACCTTATATCTGATCATTGGCAATGTGCTGACCAAATCTAAAGTCATTGTGTTCAGTAATGCTTGAGAAGTGTTTGACAAAAATATTTGTTGGAAGAAAAGACAGTCAGACAGACAAGGTGTTCGCAGAATGGGGGTATAACAATAACATACTGTTTCAATCAGTAAAGTCATTTCCATAAAGATGGTGTTAACATAATTTTCATATTGTTTGATGTTGGACTTTTAAGAATTGTGATGAGCACCAAACTTTCAATTGTCAACATTAAAAGCAAATAAAATAAAACAGATAATTGAACGACTATTCAGAATATGATGTTGTAGTACAATAAGGTCAAAAGAATATGATTGTCTTTTTCATCATATCAACTAACCTTTCTTCAAGTTTAATTAATGTCTGTTTCGTATATTCAAAAGATCCAATTTTTTCTAAACATTCCACACAGTATTTTTTCACATCATTGTCTGTAGTTCTCTGACGAATAATACCTTATATAGTTAAGGATATTAAGTACATGTTTTCAGGAAAGACATTACTTATAACTTATAATTTAATGTGCTATAAAAGAAAAAAGTAATATTGTACTATAATTTTTGCCAGTGCTGTTGAAAAATTGAAAATGCAGCCTGTATCTTCATTATGATAAAAAGTTATTATGTAATTATACTAAAACATTAAATTTCCATCATGTAAAGCATATTAAAGTACTTTATGTAAATACCAATTTTTTAAATACAGTGACCCAAATGACTGAAGATTACTGCATTATGTTACATTTAATATATATATATATATATATATATATATACAAGTCTAAATTGAAAACAAGGTTCAAACCTATGATTGCGTTGGATAAAAACCGCAATTTGTATTCGTGTGCATGCAAAACAAATTTCTTGGTAAAGGGGTCTAAATACAGCACAAACAACATTTTCCAAAAGACCAAAAAAGTGACAAAGTATATTTTAACAAAATGCATTTGACTAGCAGGTCGAACAACGGATGTTCTTAAACCCTGCTGACTGCCATTAGGGATTGCCAAATAAAATGATCACCAGATGTAACAAAATGGATCTTAAATATCAATTTAATATCAAACAGAAAACAATAAACTTGCGGTAAAGATGGTATACCGCAAACAAAAGGTGCAAAAATTAGTACACCATCTCCAGATTTCGACAATTAATGTCTCTTCAGTGATGTTAGAAATCGAAACGGTATTTGGAAGGCCATATAATTTAACTCAATTTAGGATAGACTCTTGAATTTTGAAGAGTCCAAATAGGATGAACGGATCATATAAACCCAAAGGCAAATATAATACAAGCCCAAAGGAAAAGATATAAACAAGTCTAAATTGAAAACAACGTTCAAACCTATGATTGCGTTGGATAAAAACCGCAATTTGTATATGTGTGCATGCAAAACAAATTTCTTGGTAAAGGGGTCTAAATACAGCACAAACAACATTTCCAAAAGATAAAAAAAGTGACAAAGTATATTTTAACAAAACGCATTTGACTAGCAGGTCGAACAACGGATGTTCTTAAACCCTGCTGACTGCCATTGGAGATTGCCAAATAAAATGATCACCAGATGTAACAAAATGGATCTTAAATATTAATTTAATATCAAACAGAAAACAATAAACTTGTGGAAAAGATGGTATACCGCAAACAAAAGGTGCAAAAATTAGTACACCATATCCAGATTTCGGAGAACAAACTGTGTTTTCCTCTGAAGGAATTTAGAATTTATTCGAAAAATACCTATATGGTCTTAATACTCATATGGTTCGGACCGTTAATAACCAAACGAGTATATACTCATATGGAACATTAACATTCTATTTCATTAAAAATTCAGAAATAATTCTCAGGGCTGTTCCTGAAAATACTGTGCCCCCCTTCCCCCCAATGAAGGCATCTTTTTTTTTTAACCCTGACAAATTATGGAAATGTGTTCGATTTTGAAACAACCACTGACAGAATAAGAATAATGTAAAGACTAACACCCATGAAATTGAGAAAAAAAATACTGATAACCTATTACCTACCATCAATAGTATTTTCAGGAACAGATGTTAAGGTATACACTATCTCATGAAGTTTTAATTCATTTTACTGTTGTAAGTATTTTCTAAATGTTTTGCCAAATTTTTTAATATTTTGATAATTCTTTTATTAGGATATCTAGTACTGTTTTCCATTCCCTTGTGCCTTGGTCCTCTGTAATTTGAATTTTAAAACAACAACCCTTTTTGGATTGCTCCTTCACTTAATAACATACTACAAGAGGGCTTGAGTACTGAAAGAACTAGTTTCAACTTCACATGTTTACATGACAGTGTGTGTTAAAATCTGGAATTGTATGTCTTAAATTAGGTCTTAAATTTAATATTTAAAAAAAAGGCAAACTAATATGTATGTGTCAGTTAATCATGAACATACTAGAACTCCAAATTAAATGTATTCTGAGTACAAAAACTGTTGACTGGAGGATGAAATTATATTAAAACATGCCTTGTGACAAAATAAACCTTCATGTCTTTCACAAATATACAAAAACTTCAATTATTCACTTTTTCTGTGTTGATTGGCTTATAGGAGGCGCTAGTGTTTGACAATGGAAAATTACATATTTGAAAAACATTCTTTTTAAGTCATTATATATGCCAATCATATATCAATTCATTTCTTAGTTTCTGAAATGCTGATTTAACTGATGATTTCCATGAAATCCCAAATTTAAGTCCCATTGCAGTCGTTGTGGTGTCTCTGTCATACTTTGATGTAAATGTTCAATCTCAATGTTGTATATTTCACAGCAAATGTGTGTTTTTGCATTACAGTTTTTAAAGTAAAATTTTATTGTGGGTCCTGACTCTATATAAAATTTTTAAGTTATGATAAGTGTGCTTGAAGATATATGAGTTTTTTTCACCAACTTCAAATACCCATAAAAATCATAATTTTCAGTCTTTTCTTTCTGGTTACAAAAAAAAAAAAAGAAGAAAACAACATGTTAAATAATTTCATGCGTCTGAAGTGCTTTTCTGGATTTACCTTCACCAGGAACGCTCAAAGCCTAATATTTGAAAGCCGAGGATGTATAAGTACCGAAACAGTTGAAGAGCTTTATGACAAAAAATACCTAAAAAATTGCCAAATCCATCTAAGGTCAACTTTACCTGAGGGTTTTGAAACCTTAGTTTCTTCATAATTTTAAAATTTATAAACAAGCAATTTTAGAAAGGATTGTTATAAATCATGTCAGTACCCAAGTACTGACTACTGAGCTGATGATACCCTCAGGGACTGATAATCCACCAGCAGAGGTATTGACCCAGTGCTGTAAAAAAATGAAAACAACACGTTAAATAATTTCATGCGTCTGAAGTGTTTTTCTGGATATACCTTCATCAAGCTGAATATTTGAAAGCCGAGGATGTATAGGTACTGAAACAGTTGAAGAGCTTTATGACAAAAAAAAAATGCCTAAAAAATTGCCAAATCCATCTAAGGTCAACTTTGCCTGAGGGAGTGCATCCTGGCAACAAAAAAATAAATTGCTTCAACAAGCGCAGCTGGATACGACTGCAGAGGTCCAACCCTGAACAGTTGGGACAAAAATGGACACAATATTCATGCTTGATACAGGTCTGAATTTGGATTGAAATTAAATGTTTGACACATAATAGGTTTCTGACACAGAATAACTGTAGTCAAAGAACTTAGAATTGGTTATATGATTTAAACTTATATTCAATTTTTTGCTTTTGTGCAATACACCTTGCTGTTGCGAATGCCCCCTCCCCCCCCAAAAAAAATAAAATTTACCCCCCCCCCCCCCTTTTTTTTTGCTTTTGTGCAATATACTATGCTGTTGCAAATTGACCTCCCTCCCCTTGAGTACATTTTTTTTTTCACTCCACCCCTTTTTTTTTGCAAAAGTAAAAATAGTATTTGAAGACATTTTCTTTTTAATTTCTGAAATCTGTAATGAGAAAAAAAAATTGTTCCCCCCCCCCAATTTCTTTTTTACCCCCCTCCAATTTTTTTCTACTCCCCCCCCCCCTCTCCTTTTTCCCCAAAAAAAACTTTCCCTCAAGATATGGTCATTATCTCAATTCAAATTTCCAATGGAGTTTGCAACCATAATTACCCATTTAAATACATCATTAAAGTCTTAAAATAGAAAATGACATACATAATCATGTCTAAAAATAAAATATATCTTTAATCAGCATTTTTATTAGTAACTTCTAAAAATAAATTGACAGCTAATCACCTAAAGACAATTTAAAATTTCTTTATCCATAATTTTAAAGCAGTGTAAGGGAGGTAATCCAAATTTAACATTGTACTTAAAAGTGATTGTCCATTAAAAGGAAACCCTTGTTTTTTCCCCCTTTTTGCACCTAATTCCTAAACGGTTTGAGCCATTACCCCCCCCCCCCCCAAATGCCAATCCTAACCATCCCTTTGTGGTATGGAAACTTGTTGTACAATTTCAGAGAGATCCATACACCGTTCCACAAGTTATTGTCTGCTGAAAACTAGAAAAATACTTATTTGGGCCCCTTTTTTGGCCCCTTATTCCTAAACTGTTAGGACCATAACCCCCAAAATCAATCCCAACCTTCCTTTTGTGGTTATAAACCTTGTGTTTAAATTTCATAGATTTCTATTTACTAATACTAAAGTTATTGTCCGGAAACTAAGTGTCTTCGGACAACGATGACGACGACGACGTGATACCAATATACGACCACAAAAATTGTTTGCGGTCGTATAAAAACAAATTACGACTACAAGATCCTACAGCAGGAAATGGCAATCAAAGTTAACCAGAATTCTTCATCAGCATGAAGAGATGTATATCATGCATGATACACAAGGTAAGGTCAATAAAAGAATTAATGTTTCTTAATGATTAGAATAACATTAAAAAGACTGAGATAACCAAAAAGTGCTATCTCAGATGATCAGAAGAAAATGTAACACATCTGGTAAGGATACTAAGTACTTGATTGTCATGGGGACTGCTTCTGATGGCATGAATAATAGGGAAAGAAAACTTTCCTTCTGTTAAATCTTCACAGTAACTTTTATTTGCTTCATACTGAAATAAAAAACATTTTTAAAAAACATTTAGTAACTTTCTGCATTGATCTTACCGTTTCAGATGTCATTGAATAACTACTAGGAGTGCACATTCTATTGTCATATATTTATGAGAACAACAGATGATTAGCTGTAACAGGCATACCTTTTTTCAATAGATTCAGTCGAACAATGTACCTCCAATTAACAGCATTGACAAAATGAAAAGTAAACACAGATTTCAGTTTTTGCTTGTATTTACATTTAGTGATTGCATTAATCCCTCTTGCAATATTTTTGGTTACCAATGGTTCCACTCTAACTAACAAGATGTACTTTCAGTCTTTGAGCTATTGATCACTAATTATACCCTTACTCAATGTTGTAGTCAAACAGGAAGTGGAACATTGAAGGAACTAAAACATGTCACTTGATAAGGCATAATTGGGTAAAATGTTGGTGCATATATCGAGATGCCATGAGTTATAGTTGCTGAGAAAAAGTCTGACAAAAAACTCAAAAATATGCAGAACCTTTGAAAATTTTTTTTTGCCAAACAGGAAGTAGAACCTTGAAGGATCTAAACACATGATACACAGTCTGGCATAACCAAATAAAGCCAGATCCCATATATCGAGAAGCTATAACTTGTAGTTGCTGACAGAAATGTTTTACAGAGTCAGATGTACAGATTAACTGATAGAGGTAAACCAGTATAACATCCCCTCCTTTGAAGAGGGAATAATGAATCTATATATATATATACAAGTTTAAATTGAAAACAACGTTCAAACCTATGATTGCGTTGGATAAAAACCGCAATTTTTATACGTGTGCATGCAAAACAAATTTCTTGGTAGAGTGGTCTAAATACATATATATATATATATATATGTATCTTGCATTTAACTATGTGATGTAGAACTTGACACTTGTCTATTGTTGAGGACAATATGTAAAACTAGATATATCTCTGCTAGTTTCATTGAGTCGATGACTAAATTGTATGTATTGATGTATAGCCCACACTTCTTTTTAATTATATAACCGGTAAGTACACTGCTAAATGTGATGGCATACTAGCATGTACACTTCATAATTAAATTACAGGTGAAACTTCATGTATCAAAACACTAATTAAGAAATGAGTTTTATCATAAAGACCTGATTAGTGTGACCATGAAAATAAGTTCAAGGTCAATGGATGGTTGCATGAGAAACATATTTCATATAACAATGTACATGTACAAAAGAAAAAATTAGTTGACCTTTTACTACTAGCATGTTTAAATCGGTAAAACAAAATGGACTTGTGATGTTATTGGCAATCATACCACATCTTATTTTGATATTATAATGGTATTGGAAAATGAACCAAAATGAAGAAAATTATCTGCCGGGTGATTTGCTTACAACATATTGTGTAAATAAACAATGTTTGACAATAAATTGTTAAATTTAGTAAGGTTAAACAAAAGAAAAACTGACAGAGGAATTTATAGACCAATAAATAATGGTTCTAGAATGAATGCCTTTTGCAATTCATTATAAGGGCCTTCACTGCTGATGTAACATGCAAAATTTCAGAAAATAAACTTGTTTAATGACAAATGCATATTGTCCTCCAACTCTGTTTGCATATTTAAGTAATTTTGACTTATCTAATATAAACTTTTAGACTTACTTCTTTGGATACTAAATTAGCATAATCATCTCTAATTTGGAAATATAAACCCATACAGTCTAATAAAGGCTTGAAATCACTGGAATAAAAAAGTATGATATATAATAAAAAAAACATTTTTATAGAAAATAAAACTCTTATAACAGCAGAGGCAGATCCAGTGTGTTGTCACTGGGGGAAAGGTGACCCCCCTCCCTGAGATTGTCAAAAATGTTGACCCTATAGAGTATAATTTAAATTTTTATTAATTTACCAATAAGTCTATCACTAATTAAATGCTTGTCTTTCTATTTCCAATACAAACAATTTAACTCGAGGCAAAAAACATGTACCTTGACATGTATTTTTAAAATACAATAAATCACGGACCATTAATTGCTATTTCAGTTCCTTTGATGTGGAGTTGTGCAAATGAAGAGACAAATTTCATTTTTAAACGTTTTTTCTTTCTTTAATCTTATACATTCTTATTTGAATTCAAAAGTTATTTCCAAATATTAATGAACATTAATTTTTAGCTAGTGTGATGCCAAAATACAAATGATTTGTCATTCGTTCTGATTATAATTAACATCTTAAATCATATATCCAACCCTTTATAAATATATTTCAAATATTGACTTTTTTACATGTTTTAAAATTTTTACCTCTTGAATCTTTAATATATATATATATACATGTGATTAAGACTAAATGGTGCGAAATGACTAAATAGATTAAGACTGATGCATGTACATTATGATTTACACTTAGATCTTGATATGATCATTTACCCTTTTGCTAACAGACATCAAACAAAAATGATGATGATCATGATGATGATGAGGGATGACCATTTTATGCCTAAATGGCAACTCAAATGCATATTCAGGTAGAAATGTGGTAATGTGATATGAATATAAACCCTGCTTTGAACTACAATGACAGGTTGGCTTGGATTTTCAATGTGCTAGTTCACAAGGAAACAGTCAACAAGAAGACATGTCACCTTATCTGAACACATCACATAGACTCCAAGCCAATCAGTCTTTGCTATTACTCCTAAATGCTGGGTGGTGAGTGGAGAAGCATCATATTCTTTGGTTTGACCCATCACGGTTCTTAACCTCATCCTCCCTCACTCTAGGCGAGCATGCTACCATAAATAATCAAGCGGTCAAAGACAATAAAATTGGAATCAATTTTGTATACCAAGTGTTACCATTTGTTGTTACTACCTAATTAATATCAATAAAAAACAAGAGGCTGTCAGAGTGACAGCAAACCAGATTTCCTGCAGAGGTCAAACCCTGAACAGTTGAGCAAGTATGGACACTCCATTTAAGCTTAAAACAGCTCTGAATTTGGATTGTGATTGAATATTTGACACAGCATAGGTTTGTGACACAAAAAGAATGTGGTCAAAGAACTGAAAAATTTGAAATTGGAGATTTACCTATTATGGTCAAATATCCCAAATCTAAGTACATTGTTAGAATCAGCATATCAAAGAAACCCAAGAATTCAATTTTTGATGAAATCAAACAAAAGTTGAATTTAACCCTTTGGACCTCATTGTGGACCAATTTGATAAAGGAGCCCAAAATCCAAAATCTCTAAATACATGGTTAGATTCAGCATTTCCAAAAAACCCATAAATTCAATTTTTGTTGAAATCAAACAAAGTTTAATTTTGAACCGTGATTTGGACCAACTTGAAAACAGGGCCCAAAAATCCAATATTTAAATACAGGTTTATATTCAGCATTTGAAAGAACCCTCTGTATATTTAATTTATGTTGAAATGAAACACAGTTTAATGTTATCCATATACTTATTAATTTTCTGTTCAAAGGGAAATAACTCAAACTGAATAAATGATAAACAAATAGTTCTCTAAAATTAGATATGATGTTATATGTTTTCAAATTATAATCAATAAAATTAGATATGATTTAACCACTAAAACATTGTTAGAATCTGCATATCAAAGAACCCAAAGAATTCAATTTTTGATGAAATTAAACCAAAATCAGAAATCTAAGTATATGTTTATTAATAGACAATATAGGCTAAGTTTTTAAAGGAGTTCACTTCATCAAAAAAAAATATATATATATATCATTCAGAAAATTAGTTTATACAGAATAACAAACAAAAGAAAAGAAAAATAAATTGCTTCGCCGAGCGCAGCTGGATACGACCGCAGAGGTCCAACCCTGAACAGTTGGGGCAAAAATGGACACAATATTCGCGCTTGATACAGGTCTGAATTTGGATTGTAATTAAATATTTGACACATAATAGGTTTCTGACACAGAATAACTGTAGTCAGAGAACTTAGAATTAGTTATATGATTTGAATTTATATTCAATTTTTTGCTTTTGTGCAATACACTATGCTGTTGCGAATTAAACCCCCCTCCCCAAAAAAAAAAAAATAAAAAAAATTACCCCCTTTTTTTTTTGCTTTTGTGCAATACCCTATGCTGTTGTGAATTGACCCCACCCCCCCACCCCACCCCCAAAATTTTTTTTTTTTTTAAAGTTTTTTTTAAAAGAAAAAAAAAATCTTTTTAATTTCTGAAAACTGAAATAAGAAAAAATTGTCCCCCCCATCACAATTTCTTTTTTAACTCCCCTCCCAATTTTTATTCACCCCCTCCCCCTTTTCCAAAAAAAAAATTCTTTCCCTCAAGATATGGTCATAATCTCAATTCAAATTTCCAATGGAGTTTGCAACCATAATTACCCATTTAAATACATCATAAAAGTCTTAAAATAGAAAATGACATACATAATCATGGCTAAAATTAATATATTAAATATTCCTTAATCAGCATTTTTAAATAGTAACTTCTAAAATAAATTGACAGCTAATCACCTCAAGACAATACAACATTTCTTTATACATAATTTAAAAGCAGTGTAAGGGAGGTAATCCAACATTGTACTTTTTTTTAATTGTCCATTAACCAGGCAACCCTTGTTTTTCCCCCTTTTTTGCCCCTAATTCCTAAACGGTTTGAGCCATAACTCCCTAAAGCCAATCCTAACCATTCCTTTGTGGTATGGAAACTTGTAGTACAATTTCAGAGAGATCCATACATCGTTCCACAAGTTATTGTCTGGAAACTAGAAAAATGCTTATTTGGGCCCCTTTTTGGCCCCTTATTCCTCAACTGTTAGGACTATAACCCCCAAAATCAATCCCAACCTTCCTTTTGTGGTTATAAACCTTGTGTTTAAATTTCATAAGATTTCTATTTACATTTACTAAAGTTATTATCCGGAAACCAAACGTCATGGGACAACGCTGACGATGCCGCCACCGCCGATGATGACGTGATACCAATATACGACCGCAAAGTGTCATTTATCATTAATTCAATGTCTTTTAAAAATCTATAAAACTTATCTGTAAGTGTTATCAAACTTTATATATATATTTCACCATTTCTGTTCAAAGGGAAATAACTTAATCACATAATAAGTACCACTTTTGACTATTGGAAAGGGATATAACTCAACAATGAGAAAAGCTAAAATCCTGAAAATTGAACTTGACCATTATTTAGTCATAGGAAACAACATATCTAAATTTGAAAAAATTTCGTCAAAGCGTTTTCATGTTAATGAACGGACACTGTTTGACAGCCGCACGTCTGCCCGCCCGCCGTACATCCCCAAATCAATAACAGATTTTTCCTTCGAAAATCCAGTTAAAAATTGAAATATTATGAAAGTTTTGTTTTGGTGACACCCACCCCCTTGAAAAATTTATGGATCCTCCCCTGACCAGTACAATTTAAACATTCAGGTGGTTTATCTGTTCTGTATAGTTCACCATATTTGCAAATATATATTTTAAGGAGGCAGATTAGAATTAAACACTCCATGAGTTACAGAAAACTTCCATAGAGTCTTTCTGACCCATACCACAAATTTCTAAACTGCTTTATCAATGTCAAAAATTTAAGTATAAGTGCTTCAAAGACACAAAAAAATTTCTCTGGGTCAGCCCCAAGAAACAGTAAAAAAAGATACAGAACAATGGACCATTCAGCATGCATTTATAAATTTTAAGATATATAGCACTGTCAATACTGATATAATTAATAAAATGCTTCGCTGGGCGCAGCTTGATACGACCGCAGAGGTCGAACCCTGAACAGTTGGGGCAAGTATGGACACAACATTCAAGCTTGATACAGCTCTGAATTTGGATTGTGATTAAATATTTGACACAGCATAGGTTTCTGACACAGAAAGAATGTGGTCTAAGAACTTGAATTTTTTTAATTTACCTATTATGGTCCAATGTCCAAAATCAAAATACATGGTTAGATTCAGCATATCAAAGAACCCCATATATTCATTTTTTTGTTGAAATCAAACAAAGTTTAATTTTGGACCTCAACTTGGACCAACTTGAAAACTGGGCCCATAATCAAAAATCTAAACACATGTTTAGATTCAGCATATCAAAGAACCCCAAGAATTCAATTTTGTTAAAATCAAACTAAGTTTAATTTTGGACCCTTTGGACCTTAATGTAGACCAATTTAAAAAACAGGACCCAAAATTAAAAATCTAAATACACGGTTAAATTTGGAATATCAAAGAACCCCAATAATTCAATTTTTGATGAAATCAAACAAAGTTTAATTTTGGACCCTTTTGACCTCAATATGAACCAATTTGATAGCAGGGCCCACAAATAAAAAAATCTAAATACATGGTTAGATTCAGCATATCAAAGAACCCCATATATTCAATTTTTGTTGAAATCAAAAAAAGTTTAATTTTGGACCCTTTGGACCTTAATGTAGACCAATTTAAAAAACGGGACCCAAAATTAAAAATCTAACAACATGGTTAGATTTGGCATATCAAAGAACCCCAATAATTCAATTTTTTATGAAATCAAACAAAGTTTAATTTTGGACCCTTTGGACCTTAATGTAGACCAATTTGAAAACTGGACCCAAAATTAAAAATCTAAATACACGGTTAGATTCAGCATAACAAATAAATAAATGTGGTCAAAGATTTTACAAATCTAATGCGCCATACTGTGCAATTAAAGATTACTTCTTGAAATTTTTCAATATTTGAAATTTGAAAAAAAAAATAATATTTGAAGAATAATTCTTTTTAATTTCTGAAATCTGAAATGAGAAAAAATTGACCCCCCACAATTTCTTTTTAACCCCCCCCCCCTTTGCTTCCCCAAAAAAATTCTTTCCCTCAAGATATGGTCATAATCTCAATTCAAATTTCCAATGGAGTTTGCAACCATAATTACCCATTTAAATTTACCATAGTGCTAACTTAATCTATTTTATATTAGAATTTAAAATATAGTGTCAAATCTTTCATATGGATTTTTTTGTAAAAAAAAAAAGATGCAACATTTGCAGATATTTTTACTGGTCTTCCTTTATAAATATGCATTTCTTTAAACATAATTTAAAAGCAGTGTAAGGGAAGTAACCAAAACGTAGTATTTGGATTACCTCCCTTACACTGTTTTAAATTATCTTAATTGTTCATTAACCATTACTTTATACATAATTTAAAAGCAGTGTAAGGGAGATAATTTCAATGATGTATTTGATTTATCTCCCTTACACTGCTTTAAATTATGTTTTGTACTAAAGTATTTGTCCATTAACCAGGACAATCTTGTTTTTCCCCCTTTTTTGCCCCTAATTCCTAAACGGTTTGAGCCATAACCCCCCAAAGCAAATGCTAACCATCCCTTTGTGGTATGGAAACTTGTAGTATAATTTCAGAGTGATCCATACACCGTTCCACAGTTATTGTCTTGAAACTAGAAAATGCTTATTTTTGGCCCCTTTTTGGCCCCTAATTCCTTAACTGTTGGTACCATAACCCCCCAAATCAATCCCCACCTTCCTTTTGTGGTATTGAACCTTATGGTAAAATTTCCAAGAGATCCATTCACTTAAACTAAAGTTAGAGTGGGAAAACCAATGTGTCTTCGGACGACGACGACGCCAACGTCATACCAATATACCACCACAAAAATTTTTTGCGGTTGTATAAAAATTAGTTAAAAACAAAAATTCATGATTATGTTTATCACCTGAATAATTTAAGTATCTGTCCAAAGCCATGAGCCTATAACTGTTAGGTCTTCAAGTTCTAGATTTTTTTGCATTTTTTATTTCAGATTTAAGTTAGTCCATCATTTGTCTTTTCGAAATTATTCACATTTGGCTTTCTGAAGGCCATTGGTAGTACTTAACAAACATGTCTTCTGTTTGACCTGTAGATGTAAAGATTCCTTAGATTTTTGGTGGATATTTGTCTCAATGAAAATCATATCATATCTCATGCATTGTTTTCATTCAATGAAAATTCTTGGAAAACAGTACATATACATAATATTAAGGTCCAGTTCAGTAATACCTACAAAACTAAGAAGCTTATTGCTAATGAAAACAAATTGAACTGTAATGATATTCTTGCTATTCAGTAGAAAGGAAAATGATAGCTGTAATCAGATAGAGAACTTAATATAAGTCTATAAAGCAAGGACCTGGAAATTTTTTCACACAATTTCGGTCATTTTGAGATGACTTGAAAGTTCTGTTCTTTTTTTTTAAACTGTCCAAATTATTCACACTAGATTCATGGCATCAACGAACTTGTATTGACTGGTTTCATCGCATTTACTTCAAGAAGTTTCTTACCGTTTTTCTAAAAAAAGTTCAAGAATGATTTATGGAATGCAACAGTTTAAACTCAAATGATTTTAATGACTAAAAACATTAAATTTCTCAGGAAATGCTCAAGCGTCTTTCGATTTTGAAGACAAAATAAAAACAGGAATTTTCAAGTTAATACATAATTACGAGTGAATCCGGATTTATTTACAGGATTCGTTCTGTTTATCAAATAACAGGAAATCATCGTATTTTTAATTTTACTACCTGTAAAAGTGTTTGAATATATCTGACAATAGTTTCACTCATTTAATTTAGCATGAGATCGTTTTGCATTTTACGATTACCGTATCTTGTCTTGTGAAGACAATTTCACGCATGCATATTACATAGTAAATAAAGCACATGTTTGAATCGTGAAAAATTACTTTTTCCAACGTACATTTAATAAAAATTTTAACTTTTAAATCAGAATTTGTGATTGTCTTTACTGAAAAGTTCTTAAATAATGAAGTTAGTTGTAATGGAATAGAATTTCTTTAATAATATTAGTTCTGAGTTTGATCACAACTGTCAGGTTCAAATGACACAGGTAAAAAATGTGATTAGCAATCATTAGCCAATATCTCCCGGAGCCATTACTATGGTTATTAGGAGGGCATTGAGGATTATCATACTATACTGGAGTGGCAGTTTATTACCAGAAAAGCATTTCAAAACAAAATTCAGTGAAAAATGGCGATTAAGAAACTTGATCTCAATGAAATGACTCAAATTATTTCTTTTAAAAAATAAAATTTGACATAAATCCCAATCTGACGTTAAGGACAAATAGCTTTGTCATGACTGGCAAATATGACCGTTTCTGAACACTTGCTATGAAGCATATAAAAAGGTAATAAATTAAAGGTAATTTAGTATTTAAAATCTGACTAGGATTTCAAACTTTACATAAATCAATGAAGCATAAAATATAGGGCATAGCTTGTTTACTTTTACTATGCAAGTCACAAATTATTTACATTAATTAATATAACTTAACCATGAAATGATAGTTAAGTTGGCCTGCTTTTGATATGGGATTCAACTTCAGTACAAGACAATAATGCATGCAAAATTAGATTTATGATTCATTGGTATGGATGGGATGTTCACACAGATATTGAGACATGGGGCACATTAATGGTTCCCAAGATCTCCTTTTTTAAAGTAAATATACTTTTGCACTACACATACCTTTTGCATTCACTAAATAACTGCATTAATCTTACAGCTAGTCCAAATAAACCACCAGTTTCTGAAATAAATACTCCAAATTTAATTTAATATATCATAATTAATTTGATTTGAAGATTAAATATGTCAGAATGAATTAATTGAACAAATTTTAAGTCAATAAAAAGTGAAAATGACCTTAATTCTCTCTCTTATACTTAATCTCATCACATACTCAACATTGTTCAAAAATATAACAAGAATAAGATCACTATCTGCAGTGCTAGCCTTCTCTATTATATACATTTTATACAGACAGCACAATCTTAATTGCACAAATGGGGGGCCTCGGTGGCCGAGTGGTCTAAGTAGTTACTACTGTAATCACTAGCCAGTCAACACTGAGGTTGTGAGTTTGAACCCCGCTCGTGCGGGTGCACTCGACTCCAATCTTAATTGACTAGGATTGTCAGTTTTCCTATCGAAGGTCGGTGGTTTTTCTCCGGGCGCTCCGGCTTCCTCCACCAATAAAAACTGGCCGCCACGTAATAGCCCAAAAGCGGTGCTTAAAAGTGGCATTAAAACACCAAAAAATAAATAAATAAATAATTGCACAAATGCATTCCAATGATTGACATCCTGTTTGCAAAAGACTTGCCTTGGTAAAAAATATGTAATATTGATTGGATTGAATATTTATAGTGATTACTTTAATATCTACAATTGATAAAACCTGTTTAACATTTTTTTTTCAGTATTCTTCAACATTTCAACACCAAACAAAAATGCACAAATCAGAGGTAAGTGATATTACATAATGAAATAAAACCAAAGTGCTTGTGAGTATTCTATGGTAAAGATTGCATTGATTTTGCAATGTGAACTTACAACTTGAACCTTTTTTTTTTTAGAACAGATAGATTCATACATCATGCACAACTTTTTAATAAAATAGTTTTCTTGACAAGTATGGTTATTCACATACACATCATTTTGTAACTTGAATTTCTGAGTATATATCTAATATTAATCCTTTGCTTGACATGGGCATGAATATGATCTAAAGAATGTCCACCTCACTGAATAATGGTGGTAGAACTCTTAAAAGTAGATATGAGGCTTAGGAAATATAGCTATCAAGCCAGTGGCACAAGGGTTTTAATTGCAATTCATGCAATCTTTCCCCCAAAAATGGTGTCTCTGTAATAACAGATCATATATTGTAACGTAAGATAATGCAAACTTAATATTCTTAACTAAAATGACTTACTTCTTATAACCATAGTGTTATACTCCTCCTCAGTAGGACATACTACAGAATCCCTCCAATATATATCCATACCCTGTCCTCTATGTAGCTCTAATAACTGCTCTGAAAAAAAGCCAATACTCTTGAAAATACATAATTTTAGTTGCCTTTATTAAGTCTGTATAAATATTCCTGTTCTTTCATAATAGAGTAATTTTGAATTTATATATGGTGAACCAACACCTTAAGTGGTAATCGTGCGCTTGGGTAATAGTGGGTGGATACCGAAAGGTATTCACAGTTTTCTTTCACTAGATAAGTAAATAAAACGATAATAAAGACAGCACCACCCATCAAATACTGCATGGTAAGAGTTTATTCTGGTCGACCTTTTGCCACACTAGCATTGTACCTAACCACCACCCAGCATGAACGATAATCCAGACCATTTAAAATGTTCTCAATCCTTTCCCAAAATTACCAGATTCGAGGAAAAAAAGAAGGAGAGATTTGGAAACCGAAGCAACCACAGAAAAATACACATTAGGAGCAGTCCATTACTGAAGATTAACATACAATACATAAGTACACAAAGTCAAAATTATTTGGAATACCAGACAATCCACTTAGAGAAAAGAGGAAGAAACCAGAAACGAAATGAACCACAGGAACCACAAAACATATTTATGAAGAAAATCTTGATCCATGGACACTTTATTAACAAAGTAAATATTAACAAATCTACCAAGATCTTCAATTCCCAAAATTTGTGGCAAAATCTTACACTTTATACCATTCCCAAATGCAGGTGAATTAAAAGTTGACATGCCAGACATTGCAAATTAAATCTAAGTCAGTACAGCAAGTGTTAATATTAAAAAATGTCTGCCTATGTCAAGAAACCTTTTTGAATCAATTGATCTTACATTGACGAAACTAAATCATTTTCAAACTTGGTGATAAAGATAACTTTTTAGTTGTAAAAATAAACCTTGGAAATAAAACTTCAAATGAACATTAATCCAGTCAAGTTTGGTATAGATTGGCAACACAATATCAGAGATAAAGATAAAAATGTAATTTGTCATAGGTTTCAATTAAAATAAATCTACATGACATTACAGCTGCAATGCATGGTGTCATCAAATCAGCATATAAAGACAAATCTTTTAAATAAACTCTTAATCACTATACAGTTTTGTAAAGATTTGTCAAAGTGGGAAAAAAAAAATGAAAAATGACATATCTGAGCCACGAAGTACACTGGTGGCAATGCATTTTTTTATTGAGAATCATACATAATTCCTGCAAAGTTTAGTCCAGTTTAATCTATTAGTTTCAGGGGCAATAAGAAAATAAGACACATGATTATGCTTCATTTGTGCATATGATCCTGATCTATTGTTTGTACAGCTCTTATCCAATGAAATTTCAATTATATCCTTAAACACAATAAATCAATTTAACTTGAATATCTTTTAAAAGTGCAATGGTAATTTCAATATCATATGAAACTATATGAATAGACGTGTTCTATACTGTTCTATACAAACAGATGGGATATTAACCTGTAAATACTTTGGTTGCTTCAGGATGTTCTAACATTAAAACTTTCTGTAGACCCAAGAAATAGATGTAGTTTGCAGAGTTTATTGTATGTGCTACTCCATATATGGAATGTGCCACTGAAAAAGATAAATAGTCATGGTATAAAGTTTTAAATATGATATTTCTTAGCTTTTTGAAAGTGTAAATCCCAACTCATTATCGTAACCAGTTGAAAAATATAATAAGAACACAGTAAAATTTAATTCAAAAGGATTTTATAATTCAATAACTTTTTCATCAGAGATACCTGTAAAACTACGACATGGAAAAGGATGCTAATTAATACTGTATCAATCAATGTTTACATTTACTTAAATTAAACTCAAAACTGATGACGGTAATGATATTGGGTTAAGTTGCAATAAGTCAGCTAGCTTAGCCATGATATGTGCCTGGCCGAAGTAAAACACATTTGTACTAGGATTGTTGTACCTTTCTGTTAATTGTCCAATTGCTTAAAAATTGGTGCTAATATTCCAATTTCCAGTTGTTCTTTAGGTAGACAATATTTCGTTTTTAGGTAGGCCAAGTTTGGATGAAAACATTGATGAAAAAATCTCTTGATTTTCAACGAAAAAATGTAATTTCACTAAAACATGATAAAATTGTCTTTAATTAATAAAACATCCCTTTCCCAAGTAACAAAATATTTATTCTATTCTTATGTAATCAGATGCATATAAAAATAAATGGGGAATGTGTCCATGGGGCACAGATGATGACCCCGCTTGCATATCATATAAAGTTATAAAGGGACATAACTGAAAAACTGTAAAAGTAACGCTACCCAAATTTGTACTTGATCTGAGTTTTGTGGTAATAAGCATTGTGTATAAGTTTCATAACATTTGGTTGAAGCAAACCTAAGTTAGAGAACGGAAATGAAAAATTCAGCAATTTTTCAATTTGTACAAGGGCATAACTCTAGAACAGTACAAGTCACACCTCCAAAATTCAAATTTTATCTGTATTTCATGCTTATAAGCATTGTGTATAAGTTTCATAAAATTTGGTTGAGGCAAACTTAAGTTAGATAAGAAACAAAAAAATCAGCAATTTTTCAATTTGAACAGGGGAATAACTCTAGAACAGTAAAAGTGACACCTCCAAAATTCCAACTTGATCTGTATTTTGTGGTTATAAGCATTGTGTATAAGTTTCATAAAATTTGGTTGAGGCAAATTTAAGTAAGAGAATGGAAACGAAAAATTCAGCATCGGTTAAAGTGACACCACCAAAATTAAAACTTGATCTGTATTTTATGGTAATAAGCATTGTATATAAGTTTCATAACATTTGGTTGAGGCAAACTAGAAACGAAAAATTCAGCAATTTTTCCATTTGTAAACGGGCATAACTCTAGAACAGTTAAAGTGACACCACCAAATTTCAACTTGATCTATGTTTTGTGGTAATAAGCATTGTGTATAAGTTTCATAACATTTGGTTGAGGTAAACTTAAGTTAGAGAATGGAAACCAACTTTGGGATGTACGTACATACGTACGTATGGACAGACAGACAATGACAGACAAACAAGGGTAAAACTTAATGCCCTCTCCGCTACGGTGGGGGCATAAAAATGGTGCTCACTTATTTTCATTAGGTAACTTGACCAAATACTTAAAATTAACATTGATTAAAGAGTTGTAAATTCAGAAATTATTGTGTGCATTTATTATTGCGATTTTTGTGGAAAAGAACAAAATGCAAGATTAATTATTGGGATTTCAGGAAAATATTCATACAATTATATTTATCTGATATCAGAATGCAAGATCTACTTATTGCGATACTCACTCAGTCACATTATTCACATTTATAAAACCCAAACAATAATTTCTGAATTTACAGTAATTTATTTTACCTGGTATACCCCTCCTCAGTTTGGAATTATCTTCAATGTCATCTATCCTATGGAAAACAAATAAAAGAAAGCACACTCAACAGTCAGTTTTATCGTGAGGTATATTCTATAGATAATGAAAATTTCACATGATTTGCAAATCTACTGTGTGATAATTTTTTTATGAAAATAAGAACATACAGAGTGAGGTGTTGATGGTTGGAGTGTGGTTTGTTGTACTGTACAGTATTTTTGGTAATTTGTGTTATTCTTGTTATGTATAATATATGGTGTACTTTAAAGCCGCAACCCTGTATAAACATCATTGATAAGAAAGAAATGTGCTCCTTTTTTTAAAATGTATAACTGTTTATGACATCATGAAAGAATACATTGTTTCTATTGCTATTGCAAATTTAAAATTACAAATATTGGTTTTTTTTCTATAAACAAACACACAGAAAACTTTGAAATAAAAATTATTTTGTTTATATTTAGTAGTAATTTAAAGATGTTTTCACTCATGTTTCATTCATTTTCTTTTTCTAAAAAATCAATAAATCACCTAAGACATGCACTTATTTAAAAGATCACCAAGCATATTACAAGACAATTTTTTTTTTACGAAAGAGGGACTTAAAAACAGATCGGTTTAATGTACTCACAATAAACTAGCATTATGTAACATCTGTGTAACTTCTCCAACTATCTGCAGTTTGTCTTGTGGTATATTCAACCAACAGTTAAATGCCTGCAAAAAAAGTGTAAACAAAAATACTTATCCAATGCATGTATACACAACAGAAACTCTTGAAAAAATGTCTCCAGATGAAATAGTAACCAGACATCAACAATAAACAATGCTGCATTATTTATGTAACAAATTCACATGCATTTACTTTTTAAAATATCATTTTAGGTGAAATTAGATATTTTTTTCATTTTGCTTAACGAGAAAATTTTAAATAATGAATAAGTTAGGCATCGATCATTGTGTGAAACTTCTGACTCAATTCTTTCCACTGAAACCAATTAATGAGTAATGTTTCCACTGCTTTATTGAAAAGAAACAGGTGCAACTGTGAACTAGTTCTCACTAAGGATACCCCTGCTTTATGAATTAAATAAAACAGGAAGTTGATGAGCGATGAATCTAAAAACTGATAATCAGGTAAAGCATGTTCATATGAAGCCTGATAACAAATTTCAGGAGTCTCTTCATTGAAGTACCCTAGAAAATATGACAAAATTTCATACATTTGCCATTATGTGATACTAGAATATATAAGTATTCCATAAACAGCAAGTTTAGAATCAATAAATCTGAAACTGCATCACACTGTATAGCATGTTCACATGAAGACTGATAACCAATTTCAAGACGCTCTGATTTGTATATGTAGTTCCTAAGAAAAATGCGACAGAAATTTCATAGGACAGACATACAGATGAATGGACAGATTGTTTTTCCGTTTGAATGGTTTTACACTAGTAATTTTTGGGGCCCTTTATAGCTTGCTGTTCGGTGAGAGCCAAGGCTCTGTGTTGAAGTCTGTACTTTGACCTATAATGGTTTACTTTTATAAACTTTGACTTGGATGGAGAGTTGTCTAATTGGCACTCATACCACATCTTCTTATATCTAGCAGGGGATATAAAAACTGTTTCCATGAAATGCCAAAATTCACAAGGATCAAAGACTTGAATCTGAACTGCATGGATCACACCACCTTGAGGTATATTTATAAAATGCCAAATAGTTAAGATGAGTCAAAAGACACACATATTTATGAAAATATTTTTTTTTTATCTTTCTGATAGACACAATTTTTTTTTCTGTAGTCTGCTACCTAAAAAAACTCATAGTACCAAAGTTATAAATGCTGTTTATATGGGAAATTTGGTAAAGATAACTTTACACTATGAAACCTCACTTTCAAATTTTGGGCAACCATTGATGCTTGTATTCCTTGTGGTGAAGTATGTAGTTGTTTATTCTTAAATGCAACAGTGAGTCCTGAAGACAAACCCTTATGGTCAAATGTAGGCCTAGGTCAACCATACTGATACTTAGCTGTAACTGAAAATTACAAAAAAACCTACAAAAAAGCTCTATATCTGTTTGGAAAACTGAAAACTGAACAGAAAATTCTTTATTTTTTATTTCTATTTAAATCGAAACGACACGAATGGCCTACTTGCAAAAAAAGCTTGAAACCATTTTTAGGAGTGGAAATTTGAGAAGAAAAGTCTGTAACTGAATTTTCACGAAATTTTCAAAATGAATTTAAGTCCAAAGCCCGTAATTTCTGAACAAATCAGCAGAGTGGAACAAAATGTAAACCTGATCAGTAACTCATTATGGTATACTAACATACTAAAAATCAGCTCAATATGTGAAGGCGTTTAGAAAAAAAGTCTGTATAACTTATTTTCATAAAATTTTCGAAGCCATTAATTTCGGCAAAAATCAGGCAAAAAATCAGCGGAGCAGAAACCAAACCTAAATTCGATCTGTAACTCATAATAGAAGACTCAAAGTCTGTATAACCATTATTTTCAAGAAATTTTCAAAGACAAACCCCATAATTTATGCAAAATTCAGCAGAGTGGAACCAAAGGCAATCTCAATCTGTAACTCATCATAGTAGACTCATTTACTAAAAATCAGTTCAAAATGTGAAGGCATTTAGGAAAAAAGTCTGTATAACTGTTTGTTGCTGAATGACGGAATGACAGAAGAGCGGAGTGACAGAATGACAGAATAGCGGAGTGACAGAATGACAGATAAGAGTAACACTATATGGCCCTACCACTTTGTGGTGGGGCCATATAAATTGACAATAGCTCATACTGGTTCTTTTGGCCAGGTGAGCTAAAATGAATTGAGAAGGGTGGGGCTTGAGACAACATTCTCAAGAACAGACTTGAATGTACCCAAGTAACAATGTTTTTATAACTGTTCTACATATGTACATCTTGCCAGTTCATGTTGTTGTGTTGCTCAATCATCCGAGTTTCTGTTTGTTTTGTGAACTGTTGTCTTTCTCTTTTTTCATAGTGTTGTTTGTCTTTCTTCATGTTTTTTTTGTACTCATTGGTATTTTTATTAGATAACTGTTTGCAAATATTCTCTTTACAAATATAACATGCATTCATCGGCTGTTGTCTGCTCTTTGGTTGGGTTTTTGTCTCTTTGACATATTCCCCATTTCCATTCTCAATTTTATTCATGTATTAATGTACAATGTATACCATCATACTAAATGTACTTACAGCTGCTAGTTTAGTACGAACTTGTTTTCCTGGAATCTGACATATATACTTATATGGTTCTCGTAGCATCTGTAAAAAAAATTGGTCTTTGTACTTGGTTCATGTAGGTATGAATAATTTTAATTACAATGTCTGAACGTTGAGTTAAAAATAAGCTCCAATATGTTTGCACCAACAAAGCATAATTAGCTAATTTCCGAGACCTATAATCATGATAATTGACTTACAGAAAGAAACTTGTACAACAGGCAATATGAATTAATGCTGAAATGAGGGAGATGAAAGTGAGAGCAACAATTATAATTTTCAACTACCCAGATATCAATGTTAGTCTAAGCTGTCATCATACTTTTACAAATATGGTACTTGGAATTCTCCATCAGAAGACCAGTTTTTGGACAAGGTCAAAATGCACTTTAAAAGAAAAAATACCTTAAGACTCCACCTCATTTTATTTTTTACTGTAATAAGCAGTAGTTTGTCCTGTACATTGCAAAAACATTGTTGTTTTTTTTGTTTATGAAAACTGGAGTACCCCAGCCAAATGATACGTTGTTTTAGCAGCATATAAATAGTTCATTATTTCATGTAAATGAATTCATTTAGAATTGAACTGCAAGATGGGTGCATTTCTTGGGATTGTGTTAGCTTTAAATATGTTGATATATATATATGTAGGACTCTAAAGTGCGATGGGGATCTAAAACGCGATGGTCACGCTAAAGTGCGATGGTCTACGCTAAAGTGCGATGGTTTGATACGCTAAAGTGCGATGGTCTGTGCTTTTTAATGGAACACGCTAAAGTCCGATGCCTCAATACGCTAAAGTGCATTTTTCTGCGAAAGTGTGTTTGTTCGCAAAAGTATGCGTTTGCAACGTAAGTAGCATTACGACGTTACAAGCTGTTTGTATACAAACAAAAATGGACATGCCGGTAATCAAGAGTGTGTGTCCAGATGAAGGGTTTTTACTAGAAAAGAAAGAAGAGAGAAACAAATAATCCCAATCCAGAACATTTTTGGTCGGTGGTGGAAGAGGTTTATTTGATTTGTAAAAAGAAATTTGAACAAAACACCTGGGTGCCGAAAAAATAAAGGAGGAACTAAATTTACAAATGGGAGAAACAAGTATTTGAAAGTATTTAGCCAACTTCATGTATGATGACGATATTTGTTCATTGTACCACAGAAGGGGAAGGTGTATACCGTAAAAGAGATTGAAAACGGCAAGATACACCAAGTGTCAAAGTATTTGATTCGTCCAAATTTAATTTAGAAACTCCTTCTATGTTTGTAATGCCATGTCAAATACTTGCGTGAAATAAAGTCTACTTTTTTACTTTCTAAGTGAATTATTCTATAAAACAAATGTTCAAATCTGTTAAAGAGATTGATATACTTCTACTAGACAGTAACCTAACGACCAGATGTGTAATATCATAATATGATTGCCAATGAGACACCTCTCATCCAAGACCAAATATAATTAATGTAAGCAACTATAGGTTACATCCGGCTTTAGCGTAGAGCCTTGGCTCACTGCTCATATCAAGCTATATATAGGGCCACACAATGATCAGATTAAAACAATTAAAAAGAGAAAGACAACGGCCTGAGTTATAAATCAAAAATTAATCGAAAAACTAATAGGAACACGGCAACAAAGAAAACCATTGCCAGAACCACATTCCGGTTACATGCACCATCGCACTTTAGCGTGTTAAACCAACGCACTTTAGCGTGTTATATACCATCGCACTTTAGCGTGTCATCTCATCGCACTTAAAAAAACAAACAACCATCGCACTTTAGAGTCTGACACCATCGCACTTTAGCGTAGACCATCGCACTTTAGCGTGACCATCGCACTTTAGAGTACCATCGCACTTTAGAGTCCTACATATATATAAGGTTTAAATGGTTTGAATTGCTTAGCATTAGCTACGAGATACAAAAAAAATTAAAATATGATTTTTTTTTGTTCAATGAAAGTGAAATAATGAAATAATAATTCAGTTTTAGCAGCCAGTTTGGTTCAATTTTGTAAAAATAAGCTAAGAAACATCGCTGATGAATTATTCACTTGCAAGTGAATAATTCGACCTCCTTGAATCCGTATTCATGTGACCTTCAACTTAACCCCTTAGCTAGAAATGGGTTATGCATAAACTAGGCATGTTCAGCTATTAAAAGGAAAAGCATGTCAACATTGAAAGTGAAACAAGAGTAAACCATTTGGTTGACTGATTCAAGTTCCACAAAAACTCATTCTTATACAGGTAAAAATGATGATTAACATATCGTTTTAACCTATAATATGAAATTAAACTGACCTAGAAAAATACAATTGCATGAGTTCACTATCTATTTATATCTATATCTATGTTAATATCGGGTTATAACTTATATGACCGTCGGCAGTCTTAGGAGGTCACCATAATGGTTAATTAGATCACTTCTACACTAAAATACACACGAAATGCTGATACATATTATCGAGTCTATACATCATAAATTATTCATTTAAGACTTTTTAAAAATTTGAATATACGTTTTAGTGTTATAAATCAAAGATGAGAATTTGAGTGAAATCGATGAATATGAATTTGACAGCTAATGCCCCTTTAAGTTTTAAATGCTTATTCTAAGTTATTCGTCATAAGATTTTATAAGAAAACAAACTGAGTTTTTATTGGAAACCTATGTGAGAATTACGTTGAAAATCTATGTAAAAACTGTTAACAGATTAATAACATGCTGTCATGTCCATCTTCTTTGTTTTCAAGAATATATCATACATGTCATAATTCTGATGTTTAATTAAATAATCCTTGACTAATAAAACATACACGGAAAATTAAAGAATGCATTCCTTTGTTGAATGTTTACACCAATAATGATGTCATACATGTATATGAGTTGCACTATAGTATGTCCAAGTCGAACATTGAGAACCTTATCCGTATAATTTCCTTAAACATTTTCAACAAAAATTGTGCAAAACATTAGCAAATTTATACATGTTTTGTTGAGGTTTTAAACAAGAAGTAAAATGTATATTATTTCCAAATGGAGCATACATTTTTGTAAATGGTACATGGGTAGATTTGGGTCTATGGCTTACAAAAATCTTATTTCTAGTTTTTGGATCTTCAGGATTTTTCATAAAATGTCATAAGGCAATATACAATTTCCCATGAATTTGTATCTTAAAGAAACCAAGACAATATGTGAAATTCACATGACGTACCTTTTCCATCGAATATTTGTTTTTTATTCAATGAAAATAATTATAACAATTAACAAAATTATCAAATATACACCAAATTTTATTGCATAAATAAGACAAAAGTGCAAATGCTGAAATGTCTCGCCTGCTTTACTGACCATTGATTTTATGTTGAAAGTCTTAAAGATAAAGGTTTTAATAAAAGCATAACAGAAACTTTACAATTTTAAAGATCTATGACAATGAGGTCAAGGTCAGATAAATCATGTCAGGCAGACATGTATAGTTGACCTATTGCGTATGCTAATTGAAAAACAGACCAAAACACAAAAACTTAACATTGACTAATGAACCATGAAAATGAGGTCAAGGTCAGATTATACCTGCCAGACAAACATGTGCACCTTACAATCATTCCATACACAAAATATAGCTGACCAATTGCTATAAGTATTTGAAAAACAGACCAAAACACAAAAACTTAATATTGACCATTGAACCATAAAAATAAGGTCAAGGTCAGATGATACCTGCCAGACAGACATGTACATCTTACAATACTTCCACACATCAAATATAGTTCACCTATTGCTTATGATACTTGAAAAACAGACAAAAACACAAAAACTTAACATTGACCAATGAACCATAAACATGAGGTCAAGGTCAGATGGTGCCCCCGCTTGCAAATAACATTATAAAGGGACATAACTCAAGAATGGTAAAAGTAACGCTACCCAAATTCGTACTTGATCCAAGTTTTGTGGTAATATGCATTGTGTATAAGATTCATAACATTTGGTTGAGACAAATTTAAGTTAGAGAACTAAATTGAAAAATTCAGCAATTTTACATTTGTAAAGGGACATAACTCTAGAACGGTAAAAGTGACAACCACCAAAATTCAAACTTGATCTGTGTTTTGTGGTAATAAGCATTGTGTATAAGATTCATAACATTTGGTTGAGGAAAACTTAAGTTAGAGAATGGAAACCAACTTTGGGATGTACGTACATACGTACGTATGGACAGACAGACAATGACAGACAAACAAGGGTAAAACTTAATGCCCTCTCCGCTACGGTGTTAGAGAACGGAAACGAAAAATTCAGCAATTTTTCCATTTGGAAAGGGCATAACTCTAGAAAGGTATAAATGACGCCACCCAAATTCAAATTTGATCTGTGTTTTGTGGTAATAAGCATTGTGTATAAGTTTCCTAACATTTGAGGCAAACTAATGTTAGAGAATGGAAACCAATTTTGGGATGTACGGACAAGGGTAAAACTTAATGCCCACTCCGCTACGGTGGGGGCATAAAAACTGACCAAAACACAAAAACTTAACATTTACCAATGAACCATGAAAATGAGGTCAATGTCAGATGATACCTGCCAGACAGACATGTAAACCTTACAATCATTCCATACACCACATATAGTTGACCTACTACTTATAGTATTTGAGAAACAAACCTAATCACGTAACTTTAACCTTGATCACTGATCGATGATATGAGGTCGAGGTCAGGTGAACTCTGTCTGACTGACATGTAGATATTACAAGGAACACATATAACAAATATGGCTATCCTATTACTCAAACTAAGTGGGAAATTGAGAAAAACTTTAAAAAAGATTTCAAGCAGTTGCTGAACAATGAAAATGAGGTCAAGGACAATGGATATGTGACAGACGGAAACTTTGTAACATAAGGTATCTGCATACAATGAATGAAGCATCCAGGTGCTCTACCTTCTGAAATATAAAGCTTTATACAAAATTTTACATGGCAGCCACCACCAGATAGTAACACCTATATCAGTATATCTCCCAAGGCAAGACAAATATCATTTGTTCTTTTTTCAAATAATCTTAAAACAATATTTTGTATTTCCTTGATTTCCTTGATAGACGGTTGCTACTCACAAGGAAGATATTAAAACAAGATTTCCAAGTGGTGAAGCTGAAAATATCACACCATCATGAGTTGGTTGACAGAATTTCTATTTCACAGATGACGACTGACTGATATGATCCAATCAGTGAAACCACAATCCTGTTCTCCTTTTCTCAGACTGTGACCTACCAAATAAGACTTATCACCAGGTTTGTACTTACATGATTCACCCGACTGGTGCCACATGTGGAGCAGGATCTGCTTACTTTTCCGGGGCACCTTAGATCACCCCCCAGATTTTGATTGAGCTCATGAAATTGCTCAGTCTTTAGTTTTCTATCTTGTGTTTTGTGTACTGTTGTTGGTCTTTTGGTCTTTTTATTTTTTTTGCCATGGCATTGTCAGTTTATTTTCAACTTATGAGTTTGAATGTCCCTTTGGTATCTTTCCCCTCTCTTTAAGTTATAATACATGTACGGTATCAGGTTGTTGCGGCCCCAAACCAATCCAGCCCCAAGTCGATCCGTCCAAAAGTTGATCTGTTCCAAGTCGATCCGGCCCCATGTCGATCTGGCCCCATAATAAAATAATGAATAATTCATATTAACTTCGGAGGATTATGTGACATATTAAAATCAGGATAAATGGTTCTTTTCCTTCTAACTTCATGGTAGCTAAAAGTGCTTTCAAATCATTTGGTAATTCCATAATGAGTGTTCACGAAGTTGATGGTTCAAAATACAGCTCACACTGATATGAATAAAAAATTAAAAGAACAACCCATCCATGCCATCCTATCTCCTCTTTTAAGGAAGGATTCTGCAAATCAAACAACATTTCTCAATTTGAAAAGTTTTTATAACTTTAAACAAAAACAAAGTTTGTATACATCAGCTAGGGGATCGGCTTGTACAGTTTTGTATGTAACGATTTGTTATTTTATTACATCAGTTGAAAGACTTGTTAAAATCACAGTCAATTGAAAAAATGTGAATTACTGCTGATTAATGTTGATGGTACTAAATTCTGTTATATATGATTTATTATAATTATGCATACTCAATAGTCTTGAAAACTTGTAATAAAAACATAATCAACATGATTGTTTTATACTGCATAATCATCCGTATTCATTAAAGGTGATAAATTGATTTGAATTCAAATATTTTATATAATATAATATTATATTTCTATATCATGTATATGAAATCTTAATATAAATTAAAAAAAATATTCAAATAAATGTCTCATCTTAATATGAAAATTTAATATTCAAATATTCGTCAAAAGCTAACTTTTTTACCGTTGACCTTTTATATTATTATAAACTTCATAAACATTTATGAATGACACTGAATTCATATATATCTTTATTTCTATTCCTTATAAATATTATTATATTGGGAATGGATCGACTTGGGCCGGATCGACTTGGGACGGAACGACTTGGGACCGATCCACTTGGGGCTGGATCGATATGAAAGCCATAATACAAGGCAATAATTAATTTAATGAGGACACATGTACACGTCGATAATGATATGATTTGACTTATGCTACGGATAATTACGAAACTAAAGTACCTAGGTTTTCATACAAAACTACACTATTTTATCATAGATGAATTTTTTGACAAGGCAAGGTTTATATACAATATAGCGGGTAACCAATCTCTGTGTTATAGTAATCACAGACACAGGTGAGACCGTATATAAACAGATAAAATGACAAATACCATTCTGAAATGGATATAATTACCTGTTCTGTCAAATGATCATTATTCTGTTCTTTTGATATTTCTGATGACATGTTTTTCGAGGAATATGACAAAATTTGTCTTTAGCACTTTAGTTGTTCAATTCCGGATATCCGAGCAAGCGGTCGTGTACTCCGGTTGATTTTCAATCTACTAATATAGATTCAAAACTTTACAGATTAGAATGTGTAATAAAAATGATGGTATGTAAGAAATCAATAGATACTTAATGTTGTTTTTTTTCAAATTAGATACGTGTTTCTTCCAGATATAGGTATGACTAACAAATGTTCAGTTTCGTGGTCGTTTCCAGCAAGTTTCCGGATATTGTTAAATTGTATTTTAAAGTGTTGATCAATTATTACAGTTGACTCTACTTTGTTTTTTTTTTTGAAAGTACAAAAATCAATCATATAAAATGATTTTTAAATTCATTTGTTAAAAACGAATTCTATGTGTATTTAAAATCTATATCTGAAAAAATTACACAAGTTTTAATAAATAGATGAAATCAACACTTTATATCACTTGTATTTGACAGGTGCTCTATTGACAATTACTGATTTAGACGATTTTACCTTTTCATCACAAAATCATGCTGATTACATTTCAGTAGTATGTATGCTTTTATCAGATATATAATTCTTAACAGATCTAACCAGCTGTCAGGTTTTGAAAGCTCTAAAGCTTTATTAATTAATCCTTGAAGACATACAAAGCCATAATTTCAATGAAATTATTTGTATACATTTTATGTAACTACAGGTTTAAAACTGTTAAAATTGAAGACTCCTTTAAGTTACCTGATCCTAAGGGCAAGTGTGAGCTTTTGCCATCATTTGTTTGTATTGTCTTTGATTGTCCTTTTTAATATTTACAAAAATCGTCATTGAAACAACAAAGCCAAATCTTGAGCCAAGCTTGATCACAAACATCCTTGGGGTTTCTACATTTAAGGTTCATCATAACAAAAGGACAAATATGGCTGTATTTACACGTCAAAAACTACTCTGAGTACAGACTTACCTGTCCAGTTGGAAAAGTTTTAAGGTCTGGCATCCACTAGATATATAAGAGTTGAATGCATTTTGCATTGTTTTGTGTTTCAGAAAGATATAATCTTTTTTGGTTTTTGATAGGCATTTTTTTTTCCTTTCTGCAGATGGTGTAAAAATAAACAAACACCTGAATTACTTTGATACTGTCCACTCAGTTAAACCCTTTAAAAACTCACCTATAGTTGTGTAGATACCTGTTGTCCATGTCAATCAAGGACAATCAATGCAATACAATACAGTTTTTACCTGAGAGTGAGCATCTCAAAGTTGTATCACAACTTAGTTAATTTTTACACCTGCATGAAGGAAAAAAAATGCCCATCAAATTCCAAAAGAGATTTTATCTTTCTGAAACACAAAATGCATTTAACTTTTATATATCTAGTGGATGCCAGACATTAAAACTTTTCCAACTGGACAGGTAAGTCTGTCCTAAGAGTAGTTTTTGGCATGTAAATACAGCCACATTTGTCCGTTTGTTATGATGAACCTTAAAAAAAAATGTGCTCAATGAACCTACAAGCCAACCAACATGACCAACAATACTAAAAATAGAACGTAGGGGTAAAGTGCATGTATTTTCTATTATTTTGAAAACCATTCTACTTGTACATATAACACAAATAATATCAGTCGTTATATTCTACTGATCTCTGACTGATCTCTGATTGCTACATTAACCTCTGATAAGCTATAGGCTGCTAGAGTGCACAGAATTATACAAGTGATTATAGATAGAGGAAATCTGACACAGGCAAAATAGTTCAGAATGTCAAGATGGTCTTATTTCCAATATAATTCATTGCCCTTAAATGGCAATTATTTTTTACTGATTTGTTTTCCCTTTTATCTTGAAAATTGTAATAGATCAAGAGAAACTAAGTTACTGTAAAAAGAAAAATGATCAACAAGACAAGACCGGTAAGACTGTTTAAGTAGGACAGTTAGAAAAGTGACAACAAAAGTATGAATGCTGATAGGGACCTACATGTACATAATGTACATGGTGCTGGCTGACAAACACATGTTCAGCCAAAATATAATTGATCCATTTGTTTAATGTGCATCAGCCAAATAGAGGCAATTCTACAACTAATAACAACCTCTCGGAAATGCAAGGAAGGAATATAACACTCCTACCAAACAGTTGATATCCAAGTTATTCTAGAAATAGAAAATGTTACTATGCTCGTTTGTTTTACATTAACAAAGACTACATTTTTGTCTACTTAAAGAGCTAAATGTGTGATATTCAATGAAATAACCTGAATTATCGAGATATGGAACAGTGGAACAAAACAGACAGTGAAAAAGAGAAAGTACATGTACATACTACCGTATTTGTAAATTGTTATTAATAGTTTATGTTTATTTCAGATAGAACCTAGTTATTTTTTTATAATTTTTCTACAAGCAATGAGAATGACTAGATATATGGGTAATTTGACCTTCCAAAGGTTTTCTTCTTATTTATATTTATATGTAAATCATTGTAAATTTCACCAGTGTTCTTTTTGTCTATGGCAAGTTATTATGATTTGCTCTACTTTTAAGATTTTTGCATATCACTTATAGCCAAACAAAGTCTGTAAATAGATCAAATATCTGAATTGTCAAACAACTCCCTATCAGATTATTGCCCTTTGAACAGTGGAAAATTAAGCCTGACAAGTGTGATCCAAGTACAATATTGTAAAAGAAAGGCAACAATAGCTGTAATGGTATAAGCATTGGTCAGTAATGATAGAACGATAAATGTTTAAGAAATAAAGTTTGAATCTTACACCAAGAAAGTGCACACTAGTGTTACTAAAACAACATAATAAAAAAATAAAAAAATGAATAAAAATTGAAAAGTCAACCTTTTATTATTCTCAATATCAATTTCAGATATGTCACAGGAAATTACTGAAGGTACAGTTGAAGATTTAGATAAGGATCAAGATGACAGGTATTATATAGATTCTCATAATTAGTTAAATTTAGGCCATAAAAAACATTATTGACCTCATTTTTATGCCAAAGTTTATCTGCTTTATCTATAGGATGTCAACTACAAAGTTTGTGATTATAGTCCAGGTTGATCAACCAACATGGATGCCTTGTCTAAAAATAGAAGAAGTTTTAAGAGTACAAATGTATATAATTAAAGGTTTTTTGTCTCGCCTGCGACGAAAGTCGCAGTATGCGAGACATAGGTATTACTATCCAGCGGCGGCAGAAACTATTTGTATAAAGCTTAATATTTCAGAAGGTAGAAGACCTGGATGCTTTATATCTTGTATGCAGATACCTTATGTTCCGAAGTATGTTCATTGTCCTTGACCTCAATTTCATGGTTCAGTGACTGCTTGAAAAAAAATTTGTGTTTTTTGTTCATGTGAATTTCTCACTTATTATGAGTAATAGGATAACTTTATTTGTTATATGGGTTCCTTGCAACGTCTACTTGTCTGTCAGACAGGGTTCACCTGACCTGGACCTCATTTCATGGATCAGTGATCAAGGTTAAAGTTACTTGATTAGGTCTGTTTCTCAAATACTATAAGCAGTAGATCAACTATATTTGGTGTATGGAATGATTGTAATGGGTACATGTCAGTCTGGCAGGTTTCATCTGACCTTGATCTCATTTTCATGGTTCATTGGTCAGTGTTAAGTTTTTGTGTTTTGGTCTGTTTTTCAAGAACTATAAGCAATAGGTCAACTATATTTGGTCTATGGAATGATTGTTAGGCGTACCAGTCTGTCTAGTCATTTTCATGGTTCATTGGTCAATGTTAGGTTTTTGTGTTTTTGTCTGTTTTTTCAAATACTATTAGCAATAGATCAGCTATATTGAGTGTGGAATAATTGTAAGGTGCAAATGTCTGTCTGGCAGGTATAATCTGACCTTGACCTCATTTTCATGGTTCATTGGTCAATGTTAAGTTTTTGTGTTTTGGTCTGTTATTCAATTACCATACACAACATGCACAATAGGTCTGACCGTCAACTATATTTGGTGTATAAAAAAATTGTAAGGTGTATGTCTGTCTGAAACGATTTATCTGACCTTGACCTCATTGTCATAGATTTTTAAAAATGTCAAGTTTCTGTAATGCTTTTTGTAAAACCTTTATATTTAAGACTCAACATAAAATCATGCAATGGTCAGTAAAGCAGGCGAGATATTTCAGCGTGCACACTCTTGTTTTTAACTTAATTTGACATCTCTTATTATTTCTTCAACTGTATACATTATACATGTAACATATATTGCTCAAACCAGCTAAGTATTGTCTTGAAAAAAGATATCTTAATTTCATTTGAAAAAAGGACCAATAATTTGCACAGTACATCATGTACATGCATCAACATATATTATAATACAGGCAGTACAACTACTGTACACATAATATGAGTATATACATAAACATGAAGAGGAGAAAATTTATTTTCAGCACTGAAGTTATTGGTTTATTTCATCTACCATGGGAAGATATCATCTTTAGATATATAATGCCATGTTTGCCTTTACCCACTCAATTTAAACTACGAATTGTCTCAAAAGACTGTAAGGAATTAGTTGGTGCCTACTTCCGAAGCTGTAAGACATGCAACATATGTAGGGTTGTCGGACAGATAACTGCAAAAAGTTTTGTGATACTGACAGAGGATAACACATCGTTTACATCACTGGTATTGAGGAATGCTCAAAACTGGTTAACAGATGGATTGCTATTACCTGTATTGGAACATAATTCTAAACTACAAAAAATAGACTTAACACATTGTTCTTCAATTAGTAACAGTTGTTTACACACAATATCAATCAAATGTTCTCAGCTGACAACATTATCTCTACGTGAATGTCACTGGGTCAGTGAAGCTGGGATCACAGTGGTGCTAATGAACTGTCCTAATCTGAAACAGTTGGATTTAACGGGATGTTGGTTATTAAATGATGATACTGTTATGTTAATTGCACAAGTCTGTAAAAAGTAAGTTTGAAAAAAATTGAAAATATAAAGTTTTTTGCTGGTCAAAGTTTCATTTAACCTAAAATAGAAAAAGACAACACAGTTTATAAGAAGTAAATAGAATAATTTTACAGCACTAATAAATGGAGACATGAGAATATACTAAGTGACTGTTAGGTGGACAAGTTTAAACTAACTTTTTACATTAAAGCCACATGTCGGGCATCTTCTATCATCCAGATGAGTAAACCCCTAAGTAGCAAAGCTGTGGATATATTCAGCCACATGTCAGGCTTTTTTTTTAATATCCAGAAGATTATTTCCCTAAGTAGCAAAGATGGGGATATTTAGGGATAAAGTACTAGTTACTTCACCTACATGTAGAGAAGTTAATAAAATTAGTGAAATTTCGGAGATAATTGTGTAGTTGGTAGCATTGTGCATCTTCTAATAGTTTTATTTGAATTCTGAATAGGAATATTTTTGGGGGTTTACTTTACATACCATATTAAATCTTTACTTTTTTTTTAAATGTTTTTATGTTGAACCTCTCCGCATTCTTTATTTGTCTTTCCCATTAGGTCAGGAGTCTGTTGTCGTTTGTTGCTGTCTATTATATTTGTTTTTTGTTGAGTCACATTGTTTCACATGCAGGGGCCTTTTATAGCTTGCTATACATAGTGGGTTTTACTGAAGGTTGAAGGCCATACAGTGCCCTATAATTGTTTACATCCCTGTTTTTTTTAACCTCTGGGAGATAGTTGTCTCATTTGCAATCATACCACATCTCCTTATTCATATTATGGTAAAAGATTTGTGAATTGGATGTATATTTCTTTATGAGATTCCTGTAGTAGGTTAAAATTTTCAGTTGATAGCAACTCACCATCAGAAAACTTATTTTTTCTGGTGACTACAATGAGATGCTTACATTGTGTCATGTATTATAAAGAACATAGTTTTGCTTGACTATTTTATATCATTTTAAATAAAAGCACATCACATCAGGCAGCTGAAATAAACCTAACCAAACAATTGTGAATAATAACACCACATTTAAAAAAATACAAATCTCAAATCCAGAAAGACTTGCAAGCCACTATTCCAGAGAAAAAAATTTTAATTTGATTTTGTCTTATTTATATATATATATATATATATATATATATAAATATAAAGAAAAGTCAAATAGAATCCGTATGCTGGTAACATATAAGAAAATAAATATAAGATAATGACGGTTTCAATTCATCACTTTTACTAGCGCTTTCACTGCTTTCACAGATCTTCAGGTAATGTGACTTGTATACATAAATGTTATAAATCCTATATATATATATATAAACAAGTCTAAATTGAAAACAACGTTCAAACCTATGATTGCGTTGGATAAAAACCGCAATTTTTATAGGTGTGCATGTAAAACAAATTTCTTGGTAGAGGGGTCTAAATACAGCACAAACAACATTTTCCAAATGACCAAAAAAGTGAAAAGTATATTTTAACAAAACGCATTTGACTAACAGGTCGAACAACTGATGTTCTAAACCCTGCTGACTGCCACTGACGATTGCCAAATAAATTGATCACGAGATGTAACATGGATCTTAATTATTAATTTAATTAGTACCAAACAGAAAACAATAAACTAGCGGAGAAGATGGTATACAGCAAACATGAGGTGCAAAAATTTGTACACCATATCCGGATTTCGACAACTAATGTCTCTTCAGTGATGTTTAAGGGATCGAAACGGTATTTGGAAGGCCATATAATTTACCTCAATTTAGGGTAGACTCTTGAATTTTAAAGAGTCGAAATAGGATGAACGGATCATATAAACCCGAAGGAAAATATAATACAAGCCCAAACGAAAAAATATAAACAAGTCTAAATATATATATATATATATTTCCATTTTAGCTTAAAATTTTTATCCATAGCAAAGATTTATGGGGTGACAGATTTTGCTCTAAATGTATTGGCAAAAACAGCATTATCATTACAGCATCTGAATGTCCAGGGCTGTTGGAGGTTAACAAATTCTTCTATCATGTAAGTATCTCCAGGGAAATAACTCTTTACAATATGTTAATTGATTGTAATAGGCTAATACATGTAGTTCATAAAGTCTCTGAATAAATGTACTGGTACATGTATATCAGTAAAACAAGGCATTTTGAAAATTAATATAAATTTAACATCTGTGATGGATAATCATGGATTCAGTGACTGTGTTTAGGTTTTTTTTTTTAAATTACAGTAATCATTGATTGATTTGAGTATTAATTGAAATTGAATTTAACATTTTACTGTTAATTGTAAAAACTATTGACAAGTCATATTGTTATCTATAATGTGTATATTTTTTCGGGACATTCAACTTCAATATGGTCAGGTTTGATGGTATGTCTGAGGTACCAGTTATATGTATTTCATTAATACATATACCACAATTGATTTTCCAGTATTAGTCTTTAAATTGGCACTTTTCAAAAAATTGAGCAGAATTTATCTTCGTTTCAAATAAAGAAATAGTTAATAGTCACTCATCACTGGTTATCTTAAGTAATATCTTATTGTTTTTTTTTAAATCCAGCCCAGCATACTAGTCAGTCTAGTATAAAGCATGTTCTTGTCCTGAATATGAACTTACTTTGCCATGGGGCATTAAAATGCCATCCATCCATTCATCCATCCATCTTTCCATCTATTAAATGTTTGAATAGCAAATTCTGCATGTATCAAGAGAGATAACACTGCAACTTCTGAATAACAGATTATTCTGTCCTGTAATTACTAACTGTGGTTTTAAAGGGAATTTTAGACTGACATTATACAGGTTTTGAATTATTTCATGTCACTAATTTGGGCAAGTTTTTAAGTGTATATGCTTAAATTATCAGAGATTTATCCATACCAATAAATGTAGGACAGCAATCCAACAACAAATCCTGAATTTAATCGGTCAAACTACTGAGGAGTCATTATTATTTGTTGGATACCAATTTTCGTGGATTTCGTGGGTACAGGTGAACCACGAATTTAAATGTTCAATGAATAACAAATATTCTTTAGTCTTGTATGCAGACTTCGGCCAAACCTCGAAATTAAATATCCACGAACATGTAAGTTTTCCTCAATCCACGAAAATTGGTACCCACGAAAATAAATGAATCCACAGTAAAGGTTAAAAGTTTCTGGATTGTAAACAAAATTTGATCGAACATTTCAGAAGGCATGCACAATAACACTGTACTGATATAGGATTACAAGGAGATGTAGGCTAAACATCAAAGTGATATCAATACAATTAAATAAAAACAGGTGAAGGCAAATATTCTGTCTTAATTGACAGAAGTGTATCAATACAAGTATTCATACCATGTTGTCAATTCTTAATAAGTGGCCTGAGAGACCCTGATTGACAGAAAGTATGTTTGTATATACATGATATATACACCAATCTGAAGTTCTTTTTATGAATGAGTTACACTGGTTGGCCTGATGTCAATCAGAATAAATCATGTCATTGAATAATTCTCTCTTTTTGTGATGTTTTACCATGAGCATTAATATTTCATCAGAAATATACAAAAAAATGCATGAATTTAAAAAATATCTATATGATTTTAGTAAAAGAAGATGCTAGATTATCATGGATTTGTACTTACATTAATATAATACCCAGTGTTGTATATTGATCTTTTTCAGTATTTTAGGAGAATATGGAAAATGTTTAGAAGCTTTACAAGTAAGAGATTGTCGTGATATAACAGAGGCATCCCTAGCAAGATTACGAACGAGAGGTATCAAGATAGATGTTAGACCACCACCAGAGGCCAGAAATCTGAATATCCTTCACAACGCATTAGGACTAAGACAAAGGCTTAATGTGCAAATATGATATGACGAAACTGTTTCAAGAGAGATAAAAGATTTATTCATATAGAATTTTTAAAATATTTTAAAAAGCCAGCAGTTTTGTAAAAGAGTTATGTAAGAATATATAATAAAGGTCCCTTATCATCCTGGAACAAAATTGTAAAAGCCAAACAAACAGACATAAAGATTACAGATTCAGACCTGCCAACTATCCCCATTTATGTTGACCTGAATTTTTAAATTCTTTATTTTATCAGCTGAAGACCTCAAAACAGGCATTCAAATGAGTTAAAAGGGTATTTAAGCACAAATATACTCATTTAAACAATATAGTAGTAGATTAAGAACACTTATGGTCATATAAGAGGAGCATTAGGTCCTCTTGTGCTTAAAATCCCCCATGGAGATTTTATAAAGTTGGCAGGTATGCAGATTATTAAATTCTGGTTGTTTAACAGAAATATTAATCCAATGATTCCTTCTGGTTATATAATTTTTTAGATACACATGATACATAAACTGTGGAATAATACACATATTCCTTCCAATTTACACTTGCTAAGCAAAACAAAATTCCAGCCTTATAGCAACTAAATCACCATATCAATAGTTATCTTATAGGTAGGTTCTTTATTTTCTTGTGCATAATTGTGGCTTAAGATAGGTTATGTAAGCTACAATAGTACATGGTTATAAGTTCAGTGACAATTAAATATTTTCATTGTAGCAGCAAAAACTACACTTTGCAAAGACTGAAATTTCACTTTCCTGTCTTATTTTGAATGAACATATCACTAAAAGAGTTGAATTTAAAACTAAGTATCTGATGGGCAGCTGAACTGGTTGGACAAGAGATAAAATTAGTACAATAGTAACTTCAAAGAATAAATAACCTTTAAAGAACATTCCTTTCAATTTTAGTAGAAAACATGACATTATGTCTGTTCTACTTTAAATTTAAAAAAAACTTTAAGCCTTGACAGAATAGTTCATCAAGAATTTCACAGCAAAATATGTAAAATTCACAAGCAAATTAAGGTGGCACAATTGATTTGACATTGTCTTGTTTTATTCAGTACACATTTCAGATTATAATTTCAGATGCATAAGATTTTATTTATTCATTTTGTAGTTTTAGCCAAGACATGAGAAAATCAATAATAAAATTAATTGATCATAAGGCTTTCTTCTCTATTGTAAATTTATCAATAATAACACTGTATATCGGAAAATTTACAATGTGTCTTATTTACACTAATTTTGTGGAAGATATATTACTATGAAATTTACCCTACATGAACCTTTAAATGTGCTTTTAAATGCTTTTTACTTGGCCTTGAAATGTGAATAATGAACACAATGAAGATATAAATACCTGCTAAAGGGCCCAAACCGTGAACAAAACCTGACATGAAAATAACCCGATATACGGTAATAATTTGTTTGAGGTGATTAGTTTTCAAGTTAAATTTCAAAAAAATGTTTTTACTTATATGAAAATGAATATTTGTATTTGACTAGATAATTTATCTTGGTGCTTTTTATATAGACACACCTGTTATGAATTAAGTTTAATATTATGATCCCCCCAAAGGAAAATTGTATTTTAACTGTACTTTGATATGCAATGTTCCACCAATGCTAAAAAATATAGATGTAGAATATGAGTGCAACAAAAGAATGTATTGAATATCTTACATGATTTTCCTTCTTTGGTAATCACTATACTATTAGGAATTTCTCTCACAGTAATTCCAGAAGGGAAATTAATCTCTATTGTTACATCTTTAGTGATAATTTTTAAATGATGGACTTCTGTTGCTTTTAGAATATACTATCTTTAAAATGTTATTATAATTTCATGAAGTTTAGTACAGTATACTATCATTTAGTACATGTATAAAGGTTTCATTGCATTGTATCTTATTACAAGCACAACAATTTTTTTTAAGAAGTTCATGCAAAGTAAAATCAAGGATGAGTTCAGTTTTAGAAAATTTGATATACATTGTACCAGTATACTGTTCAATATAGATGGTATGGAAGTAAAGGATTCTGGTATATGTGAGAATTAGATCCCCTAACTGTAGTTTTGAATTGTATACCCAGTAGATAGGTATTGAATCTATTTATTAATCTTAAATAGGCAAAGTTTGTTCTCAGAAACTACAATGCGAAATGTACTCCACTCACAGATGTAACAAGAATGGCTTTGATACCTTTACATACATGATACCTTAAATTCTATATAACTGTGATTATCTATAATGTGTTTTGATAATTGAAACAAAAAAATTGTGTGAAATCTCTATGATGTTGTTGATGCTTGATTAGTGTTTGACCAAATTATGTGATTTTTTGTTTTGTAATGTGTTAATTTTTTTACTTATACTTCAAATTTATACAATATGTAAGTAAGAATAGATTTAGAATATATATGATGTGAAATTATTTGTAACTGTGATATTTCTATACTTTCATTGTATTTTTCTTTTTTGGTAGCTTACATGTCCCATTGGACCATGTGAGCTATTGCAATTACTTGGCTTACATTGTTGTAAACTTTTTTTGAAGATCATCTCCCCTGAAACAACTGGACCAAGATGATCATCCAAGCAAGATGTAAATATAAGTCATATGAATCTGTTCATTGACAATGTATTGCCCTTTAATGATAATTTTTATTAGGTTAAAGATTACACTCATTCAATTAAAACCCTTATGTGGTTGGCTATATAGCTATCAATTTTCCAAACTTAATCACTAATTTTGAGATAAACAAAACATAGTGTATTGATCACAACATTCTACACATCATATCCATGGATTTCAAGAAATTTGTTAATGAAAAATATACTCTGATATTGAAGTTACAAAAAGATGTTTGTGTATAACCATACTTTTGAAGAAAATTACATAACTTGTAGAAGGTGATCTAGTATCTGTTCTAAAAATGACAATTATGTCTTGTTAAAGTAATATTTAAAATTGGAGTTATCTTTCTTTGTCTACAATTGTAGTTGGACCAACTGCAATATCTTTAATTCATGATATTGCCTTCCAATGCTTAATACAAATATTCTTGCCAGGTCAGCAATTCAGACAAATATTGGCCTCTATATTTGATTTTTTTAAATAAATGTTTTATGGTGTAATAGTTTTGTCTTCAACAATATCTGAATACTGTTAAAATGTTATAAACATCATTTGTTTTTGATTATATATATTGTTTATTTGATATAAAAGTGAACCATACAATTTATTCATGGAATTTTGTGTTTTTTTCTTTTTCTTTTTTTCTTCTCATGATTGTTTCTGAAAGCCATTCAAGACAGTGGTATTATTTTTCTACTGTGACTTTTTTATACCCACTGCTTTCTGATGCGGGAGGTATATAGTGATGATAGAGTTGGCCCATCTGTTCCTTCATTCTTCCTTCCTACTTTTATATCCAAAACTTCCAGAATTGCTTGATAACATTTTGTGAAACAATTACAGAAACGAAATAAATGATGTATATTTTACACCTCTTATTTCAGTTATTCATCTGAATGATTTTTGTCGAGCCTGCGACTTTTGTCGCAGAAAGCTCGACATAGGGATAGTGATCCGGCCGTGGCGGCGTCGTCGTTAGCTTACTTCTTAAAAGCTTTATATTTTAGAAGGTGGAAGACCTGGATGCTTCATACTTTGTATATGGATGCCTCATGTTACGAAGTTTCCGTCAGTCACATGTCCAATGTCCTTGACCTCATTTTCATGGTTCAGTGACTACTTGAAAAAAAAGTTAACATTTTTTGTAATGTTAAATTCTCTCTGATTATAAGTAGTACGATAACTATATTTGGTATGTGCCTTCCTTGCAAGGTCCTCATGCCCGTCAGACAGTTTTCACTTGACCTCGACCTCATTTCATGGATCAGTGAACAAGGTTAAGTTTTGGTGGTCAAGTCCATATCTCAGATACTATAAGCAATAGGTCAAGTATATTCGGTGTATGGAAGGACTGTAAGGTGTACATGTCCAACTGGCAGGTGTCATCTGACCTTGACCTCATTTTCATGGTTCAGTGGTTATAGTGCACATTTCTATCCACATCTACTCCTGAACGCCTACCCAGAATTAAATAAATCTTTCTCGGGATATTCACTAAATTCTTCCATTATACATTCCATCTATTTTGATTTTTTGGGGTTTGACTTAGCAAATCATGGGCTTTGTCATCGTTACGGCCCCGCCTAGTGGCGGGTCGCCCGATAGTGATCAGTCTGTCCGTCCTTCCGTCCGTCCATCTGTCCGTCCGTAACAAATTGTGTCCGCTCTATATCTAGAGAACAGTTATGATTTCATACTTTATACTTGACATGTATATTAACCAACACCAGAGGGTGTGTCATAATGTATGTACAACTTCCTAGGTCAAAGGTCAAGATCAAAAACTTTGGTTTCAGTTGACAACCCCATGTCCTATGGTAAAGATCACGTCCGCTCTATATCTTGAGAACCATTAGGATTTCAAAGTTTATACTTGACATGTATATTAACCAACACCAGAGGGTGTGTCACAATGTATGTTCAACTTCCTAGGTCAAAGATCAAGGTCAAAAACTTTGGTTTCAGTTGACAACCCCATATCCTATGGTAAAGATTGTGTCCGCTCTATATCTTGAGAAACGTTATGATTTCAAAGTTTATACTTGACATGTATATTAACCAACACCAGAGGGTGTGTCATAATGTATGTACAACTTCCTAGGTCAAAGATCAAGGTCAAAAACTTTGGTTTCAGTTGACAACCCTATGTTCTATGGTAAAGATACAAATCTTTTACCACACATTATTTACAGTGTGGCACACAGAGATGGCTCCCATCTCAATGATGTCTAGTTTTTTCTGTGGGGTACCAATTTTGTAGTTGCAACTCCTCCTAAATCTAGTACTAGAACTAACTGAAATTTTACCATATGATTATGCCTTTGTAGACTTATTGTGTCACAGTATCTATAGTTTTAATTTAAGGAGGTAGAGGAAAATTGTTGGATGTATATACATGTACCTTATGTCATGCAGTTTAAATCTAGTATATGTGTTGTCCTGGACCTCTTTTAAAGGTACATTGACTTGAAAAATCTATGTTAAGTTTTCATGATTAAATCAATATAAATGGACACTGATATAACTAAACCAAATAAATTTGGCTTATTGCTAGTGCATTTTGGAGCCTATTTTAATCTTACACATGGATTAAGCTTTGACTTTACTTTAATTGTTGACTGACTACCAAATTATGGTATAATAGTTTATGAATAGCTTAGTTAAGTTGAGGAACTGTTTAAGTATCTCTAGTGGCCACATCTGCATTTAGGTACATGTGTCTGCAGCTAGAAACTAATAAACATACAGCCTCATAGTTAGGTATGCATATGTATTTAACAGATAGATGTTACATTAATCTGACCTCATTTCAGGTTAGCTTTAGTTTCTTTGGAATGAAAATTAGCTACAAGGGTAATGATTAAAAATTAAGGACAAAAAAAGAAAAATTGGATTGCAAATTGGGAATTAATTTGCAATTTGTTTGCTATTAAAAAATCAATTTCATAGATTCATCTGATTGCAAAAATTAATGTTCTATAAATTAATCCATATAATGAACTCTGATACAGAAATAAGACCAATGATAAAGAATACAAATATGCATGGCATAAATCTCAATCCGACTAGAACTCTGTAACATAAGATGGACAAAACACACATACTGAGGTCAATCAAATAACTAAATAACAGAAGATAACCAAGACACCAATACAGAAGTCCATCAAATAATCCTGTTAAACAAGATTGCCACAACACATACAGATAAACAAAACACAGATACAGAGGTCAATCAAACAACTTTGTAACCCAAGAAAACCAAAACACATACAGAGGTCAATCAAATACTAGTAACTGCATAGCACCAGCAAACCAAAACACAGATACAGTGGTCAACCAAATAACTCTGTACCACCACAAAACCAAATCAATAGACACATAGATCTATCAAATAACTTTGTAATTTAAGATAATTAAAACACATACAGAGGTCAATCAAATAAATCAATAACACAAGATAACCAAAAACACATACAGGGGTCAATCAAATAACTCGGTTACACAAGAAAACCAAAACACATACACAGAGGTCAATTAAAAAACTCGGTAACACAAGATAACCATATCACACACAGGTAAATTATATTACTGTACAACAAGATAATCAAAAACACATTCAGAAGGTCAACCAAATAACTCTGTAACATAAGATAACAAAACACATGCAGGGGCCAATTAGATAACTCTATACAACAAGATAACCAAAACACATGCAGATCTCGATTAAATGGTTCATTCCTCCTATTCCCACTTTTTAAAATCTGGTAAGAAAAGTTAAAATTTCATGTGGGAATAGGGGGAAAACTTATGCAAACAGAGGATTATACTGTATAAACATTGTTTAATCAACTTTTAATTGACAAGTGTTTTTTTGGATAGGTAATAGGTTATTTTTGTATGTGTATGATTTTTGTGTTTTTAATTTAAATAAATATGAGAGAAATGGAAACAAATTATGAGAAAATTATCTTATATCTTTTATAACGCAAATTCAACAGTAAATTCAAGGAAGCATTATAATATGAAACAAACAATACAATTTAACAGCACTAAAACAAATCACACATTGTAGCACACGCATTAGAAATTCACTGTATATAAGTCTATTAATAAAAGTTTATTTATCTATTCAACGTGAATAAGGTGTGATCTAGGTTGCATCACCAAACGGTAATGTTTCAGTAGTTTTTATAAGTTTAAAGATGTTTGGATATGGGTGCTGTACATGTTTCTTCAGCTTGCTAAAGCTATCCCTCAAGATGGTGTGTAGTCCTCAGTCCCTCTGTTGTGTAATGGTCCCATCAGTATTTTGTTACATAGTCTGTAAAGGGCGTGTAGTTGATGTTAGTATCAATCTGATCTATTTCGTTTAGGGCATTATTAAAATCACACGTCTTCGACCTCAGCAGTAGGTACAAGTGGAAGGACAGCGGCATGGCGTATTAGTTGATGAATGTTGTTGTCTTTCTTATATGGAACCATAATCCCTGTTCCTTGTGCTTTTCTCCAGATGCATTGTGTGTATTGGAAAAAACAGTGGTTTGCGTTGATGTAAGGAAAGACATAATATGCTGCGTTTCGGGTGACGACTTCATAGTCCAGGAAGATAGTGGTAGGCTGAATTTGTAGTTGGTGTTGGTGACATATACATACATCTTTGAGTAAAGTCAGGAACCTTGTGTATGCTAGTTCGCTGTTGGCTGGAAGTAAACTGTGTACCAGTGGATACATTGCACCGTCAACCATTGCGTGAAATGTGTAAAGTTTGGAGAATAGGCTTGGACAGGAGTAAAATGTACCTTCACCATACTAGATAATGATATCTGCTGCTGATAATGTGTTAAATTCTTTTGAGTACTGAAGATTAATTAACATACACCAACTATGTTGTCGTCTGTTAGCAGTTGGTAGTACGTGCCCAAATACCCTCTTTGTTGATTTCATCAATGTTTTTGGTAAAACTGGTAGGTTCTTCTTACGTTTGTTGTACATGGAAATCTTGCAAGATGGGAAATTTTTTTTTTAATATTATCTATCATCAATGTATTTGTTCGGATGACAATTTTTAAGGTTTACAAATTCAATGATTTTTTAATCTTACATTTATTTATCTGCCATATTCTTTATTTTAAGGTTATTCTTTGAAGAAGAAAAAACATATTACAAATAAACAGTGTATACATTTTTATTTTATTTTAAATAATATACTCAAACAGTGTAAGAAATATGTTTTCTTTTTAAATAAAAATACAGTTAAATCTTATGTGAATTTTTAATTAACCTTGATTGTTATAAAAACAAATTATTTATGAAAACATCTATTGTTATTTGCATTTTGGAAGAGAAGGTATAGTGATTTTTAAAAAGTGGGAATAGGAGAAAGACACCGATTAAATTACTGCGTAACACCAGAAAACCAATTAAAACACAGTTACAGAGGTAAATTAAAAAAACTCAGTGAAAAAATAGCCAAAACATAGAGGTCAATTAAATAACTACAACAAGATGAACAAAACACATGAGGGGTCAATTAAGTAACTCCGTAACATAAGATAACCAATACACGTATACAGAGGTAAATTTAATAACTCACTAACAAATGATAACCAAAAACACACATATAGAGGTCAATTTAGTATCTGAGTAAAAAAAACCCACCAAAAACACACACAACAAGGTCAATTGTTTAACCAAAACATACACAGAGGTCAACGAGATTAATCATTAACACAAGTTAAAACATACATATATAATTTGGTGTACAGATGCATCTTGAAGAGACTGGACATATACTATTGAAGGAATATCAAATGACCAATAAATGTATCATGTTTAAGTGACATTGGCTTTATACTTACCAAGTTTAAGGTTCGAGTAAATTAACTTCCCAGATATTAACTGAACTACAATGAATGTATGAATACATCTAAGGAAGTGTGACAATTTACTATCAATGCTAGGTCACTCTTATCTACATTTTATGCTTTATTGACTAATTATGATGTGCAGTCGAGTTCATACATTTGCACCATCCCACAAAAAGAGGGCAAATATGGCCTATAGTTTTGGTTTTATTGACTTTGATAAAGTTTTACCTTCGATTTTAGATCTCTGGTACTAAATGACATAAGATCATATAATAGTGTACGGATTCATTTTTGGTATCATAACAATCTCCTGCCAAATGTATGTTACTCTGGCCTATATTTTGAGCTTTTTTGACTTACTAGTTTATTAAATTTTGCCTCCCACATAAAGAGAGCAAATCTGGCTTATAGTTTAGGTTTTATTGACTTTGAAAATTTTTTCGGTCGAGTTCAGATCTCTGGTACTAGATGAACTAAAATCATATAATAGTCTAGGGATTCATCTTTGGTATCATAACAGTCTACTGCCAAACGTATGCTACTCTGGCCTTTGTTTTTGACTATATTGACTTACTAGTTTATTGACGTTTTAATCCGTTTTTACATCTCGTTCCCTAAATTACCATTAATCATAAAACTTGATCTTGAAATGCATCTTAAGCAGTGAATTAGTATTGACTTACATTTCAAGGTTATTGAACATTCAAGTTTATTTTATAGCCATAACTAGTGACGAGTTTCGGTGAAATTTAAACAATTTGAGATCTAGAACAACAATGAAAGCTGATTTATATAAACTAAACAAATCTTTGGAGGATAAAACTTAAACAAATAGCGGACGAGTATGATAATTTGCTGGGAGTTCATCGGTCATGAATTAAATGACAACAGTTTCTGTAAAGCTGTACGTAATAAGATATAATAAATTATTGTCCATGATCTAAATAACCTTATCAATACGAACAGTCACGATTCCAGTATATTTAAAGATATAGAGATAAGCTAGAGCCCAGAACAGAAAAAAGCAGGCACCATGCTGTGGTCAATTTTACTTCTTGCTGTTGTTGGTAAGTTAACATTCATAATACAACCCTGGTTCTAACTAGGATTTATGATGCTACAATGTCTTTAGTTTTGTGTTTCGAGTCTGTGTGTGTGTGCTTTTTTTCGCCTGTTCACATTAAAAAAGACGAATTGTTTTCGTGTATACCATGAAATATAATTACTTATTCTTATTTTTGAGAATACAACCTTTCTGTGTTTGTGGTGGTAGTCTCTCCAATAATAACAATAACAAGCTTTTGACGCCGTTCTAAAGAAAAAAATGGTTATAGTGTCATGACTGTGTAAACAATTGTATCCACCTTATATTACTCTAAGTTAAGAGTCCGACGAGCTCTTCCTTAAACTGATGATTGTAAAAAAGAAAAAAAAGCAAGAATCTAATGTTAGACCTTGACATATGCCTCTCTAATCGGTGAATAGTTTAAGGGTTCACACCACCTATATACACCAAAATTTCAATCCACGAATGCCAATCATTTTTTGTAAGGTCTCATATATGCATTGTCAAGTAGTAATGTTGATTATACCTATTATAATGTATAAAGTAAATGCACAAAAATACCGAACTCCGAGGAAAATTCAAAACGGAAAGTCCTTAAACAAATGGCAAAATCAAAAGCTCAAACACACCAAACGAATGGATAACAACTGTCATATTCCTGACTTGTTACAGGCATTTTCTAAAGTATGTAATTAATATTACGGAACTAATATTTTAAACCTTTTAACAACACTGAGTGTCGAGAAAACATGTAATGAGAACAATATATATATGGTATCCATTATTTAGAAGATCTATACGTGTTTTCCGTTATATATGAACAGCTGAAAAAGGAGAAGATACCAAGGTTCAATAAAAAACCTTAAGTTTAAAACACCATGACAATGAAAACATCGAAAAGACAAACCAAATAACACAAAACATTGACCAACACATTAGAACGCCAACGAAAACCAGGGGTGACCTCAGGTGCTCCAGAAGGTTAAGTTCCTATTTACCTATGGATCCCGTCGTCCCGGTTGGTCGTGGCAAGTAAACGTCCGGCGATAATCATTCGGTATCTCAAAATAAGGGATTGTGGATACGACAAGTAGCACATATCCGCAGTTGTCAACGAAATCGTGATGACGTCCGTAAAATTTTAGGAGGAGTGACTTAACTTTATTTTAAAATCCCTTGGTGCAATAGCTTCCTTTTGAGCCGCAACCCAAGGATATAAAAATAGGAAACGTAAGCCATGGAAAATAGTATAAAGTCCATATGCAGGTGCTACTGGAATTGCTACGATGAAATGGAAAGTTTATAATGGTAAAATGGAAATCATTTCTTTTGTCGTAAAGTTTAGTTCTCAACCGATCCTCATTGTCAATTCCTAGATGTCAGTCAACATATGAGCAGACTTAAACAAAATTATTTTCATTTACCTGTGTATAATATTACGCAGGTTTCTTCAAAAGTGATGATTTTCTAAAAATTGTTTGACATTTCACAGTGATATCATACTTTGTTTAAACCTGTTTATTTACTTTTGACTTTAATTATTTATCCCTTGTAATTTTTTTATTAACTGTGTATTTGCATTCAGGTGTCACAGGTCAAATTTATTCGTTCATTGTGTGTTAATTTACGTTTTTTTTATTGAGTTAAGCCTTCCAATTGATATTTTATAGTGTGTTTTTCTATGTTGTGATGTTATACTATTGTTTCAGAAAAGGGAGAAGGTTTGGTACCATTAAAACGTTTAATCCCGCTGCAAATGTTTGCACCTGTCCTAAGTCAGGAATCTGATTACAGTAGTTGTCGTCTGTTTGTGTAGTTCATACGTGTTTCTCGTTTCTCGTTTTTATATAGATTAGACCGTTGGTTTTTCCGTTTGAATGGTTTTACACTAGTAATTTTTTGGGGCCCTTTATAGTTTGCTGTTCGGTGTGAGCCAATGCTCCGTGTTGAAGGCCGTACCTTGACCTATAATGGTTTACTTTTATAAATTGTAACTTGGATGGAGAGTTGTCTCATTGGCACTCATACCACATCTTCCTATATCTATTAACTTTATATGTGGTATCCTTTATTTCAAGTTCAACTTGATAGATGCGATCAACTTAGTCACCAAGCATTGAACAATGCAATGCGAGGACATCCTCAGTACGAGAAGTTAAGCGATAATGCTAGCTTCTTTGCATTTTTCTTTAGAAGCTCTTGTATAAAGTCTGTCTCATACAAATAAATGAACAATTCACTACGAAGAGGGGCACAGTTTGTTCCTCTAGAATTTCTTTATCACCATATATCGATGTTTAACTGGTCAATATCAGAAACTCTTCACGCATTTCCTATCTTTTTCAGATTTTGCGTTAGGACAAAGCCAATGCCACAGAACTTGTACTTCCCAGTACGCACCCGTGTGTGGTTCAGATGGCAAAACATATAGTAAGTAGAAATGTAAATACAAAAAAAAAAAAATTAAATGTTTAAACGTCGCTTACTTGCTGCTTCTAATTTTATTCAAAATTAGTTCAATTATTCCTAATATAATCTATTGTTCAAATGATTACTCTCTTTTGATGTTTGGATAATTATTTTTAGGCAATCAGTGTCTCCTGAGTGTTGCAATGTGCTATGCTAAGGCAAAAGGAACCAATCTACATTATTCACATCGTGGCTCCTGTAGTCACCATGTTACCCACCGACCACCAATTCATTCGTCATACAACTGTAAAGATGTCTGTGATGAAGAATTACAGCTAACATGTGGAACTGATGGTAACACCTACCGTAAGTTGTATCCGTTTTTTGATGCGAGTAGTTCTAATTTAGTCAAAATAGGTTAACGAGAAATCGTGAGTGGGAGGGAGTAAACCGTAAAATAAAGAATAGACAGACCTGGAAAAAACCATTAAGCGAGTTAGAACAATAAAATGCATATGGTAAATATAAATACTAGAACTTCGAAGGGGGATTAAATGTGTTAACTTTCTTCTTTACATTCTCCTCGACTTGTTTATCTCAAATGTACTGAAGCCACAATGAAACAAGGACCATTTCCTACACTGGTTTTACCGTTACCTGGTATTTTTTCTATGTTCCACAAAACCGAGGTCGTGTACAGAGTTCATTTACATCCTCCCATAAACTTACAAGCACCCTTTTCAACAGATTAATGATTTTGTATATTAAAAAAAACTTTTATCTTGTCTGCTCTGTCAGGAAAATCTTATGGATCTATTTTTGTTTTATAGAACTTAAAAAAAAGCCTTGACAACAAATCCGACAATTGATAAATATTAGGTAGCGGGAACAACATCTTTCAAAATACACTTTCAGTTAGGAATAGAAATGCTACAGTGTGAATAGAATTACAGATTTTCAAGAGCTATCAATAATCTCCACTTGTTTAAAATACTGTCAAAATCAATGTATTTGATGGTGGAACAATTTTTACGAAGTAGACATCTAGCTGGATAAATCAATAGAAACACGAAATTTGATGTGAATATGTATTTGATCATTTTCAGATAATAGATGTTTCCTAAGCTTGGCAAATTGTGAAGCAACTAAAACAGGAGATCATGTTAGTTATGCTCACTCTGGTGAATGTACTGAGATGGACAAAAACTGTCCACACACCTGCGACAATCACCTAGATCCCGTGTGTAGTACAGGGAATATCACATTTAGTAAGTAGCCTCAAAGTAAACGCATGTATAGAACAAACTAAATATCAGTTGTTTAGCCAGGGTGAAAATCTAAAGATCCAAAGTGTTAGTAAATTTAAAGGCAATATCGTCTTCTTGTTTCAAATCATTTATATAGATAAATGCTGGTGGCTGATAAATCAAAGAACTATATATATATTATAAAACAAGCAAAAACAAATAAAACGTTATATGCTTTATTGGTAATGCTAAAAGCAAATAACTAATCGTACTAGTAGTTATTTTTTGTATATTGATAACTAATACTTGTCATTTTTTATTATATTGGTCAATCATGTTTTTTATTTCCAGAAAATCCTTGTTGGTTGACCATGTATGGATGTAAATATTCCCATCTATCTAGTACTTTATCAGATAGATATCATATGGCACACAATGGTTCATGTGACGGGACAGATCCTTATGCATCAACAACAATGGTTAGGATACACGTTATAATGAAAATGTAGATAAGATACAGGAAACTGCAAAAAATATGTTTTATAGAAGCACCAAATTTGTTTTGTGCATTCATGAAGTTCAAATATCTGAAATATCTTAATTTTGCTCACAGGAGAACGCCGATGATCTTTATATTTTTATTTGATGATTGGGAACCGTTTTCTAAATATCCTTATATTCTTCTTCTTTCAGACGTTCCTGTGATAAATATGACATGACAGAGCTTCTCCTATATAATTGTTTACATGAGCTATATATGCAACAACAACAACGGTTAGAATACGCATTTTAATGAACATGTAACTAAGAAAACTAACACTAGTGGCTGTTAGAGTGAATTATAGCCATCCTGCGTTAATTAACGGTCCATGTTCTGGTTTTTTTTTTCCTTTATGGCATTCTCCGGATAAATGAGTTAATGTATATCAAGATTAAATAAATTATATTAATTGTTGAACGAAAAAAAAAGGCTCGAATTTTGGAAGTAGAAATCTCTCTTTCGAGCATGAATTGGTGTAAAGAACATTGCTTTACTGGTGTAAACGCAGTCTAGTGGTTTTTCATCATACATTAAACATACAATGATTTACTATAACTTTTTTAGATCGACTGTAGTTCATATATGACCCATGGTTCCATAGCAGGAGAAGGAAGCACCGGGCATTTATGGAACTGTCCAAGAGAACACGAATATCTATGTGGTGCTGACCACCATACATATACTGGACCATGCTCATATTGCAGACGTATGGACTATAACAAAAAACTTGGTAAGTAAACGCATCTGAAACGCTAATTGTTGAAAAAAATATCGAATACAAACTAAACGAAAACAAATAAAAACTAAAAACGGTACTGTGGAACTCATTAACTTGACAAAACAATAATGGTAATAATAGTAGATATATTCCAAAGGGATATTCAAAATTATGTCAAAAACAAACTGTCCCTATTGTTAATTTTCGTTTTTTGGACGGTGATGTTCCTTTGGCACCATCTTACAGTGTTTATATATCACAACTTGTTCGCTATGCCCGCGTCTGTTTTGACGGTTTGGATTTCAACGAACATAATCTATGTATTACTGATAAATTATTAAGTCAGGGATTTCGTTACCTCAAATTACTTAAAACCTTTACTAAATTCTTCCATAGATATAAAGATTTGGTTTTGAAGTTGGGTTGTACCTGTAGAAAACTTATTTCAAACGGGATAGCACATCCTAATTTTTACAGAGATGTTGTTTACCTAGCCTGGAAATTTAGAAACGATCCGGGTAACCTTATCGATCTTTTAAATAAACTTTCTCTACAAGGTTACCAATTCAACACTGTAATTAAATCTTTGAATATTGTTTTTATTGGTATTAATATTGATTTTGTTATCAGTAAATTAAATCAAACTAAATATTATTTTTATATACATATGCATATTCATGGCTCTACAATCTGTCGATACCTGTATCTTGGCATTGCACAAGGTCATGTTTATAGTCTTAGATGCATGATTTTTTTTTCTTAGTTGTTATTGGCTTTGAACTAGCTGTCAGTAACTGCGAGTACTATCAGATCAGTACTTATAGTGTCTTTTTGTTGTGGGGATGTATAAGTACCCTGTCACGTCCACTCTGTTTTTGTTACTTGTTTTTGTGCTTTGTATCTATCTAATGAGTTAAGCCCTTTTCAACTGATTTTTATAGTTTGTTCATACGTTGTACTGTTACACCACTGTCCCAGGCTAGGGAAGGGTTGGACGCTCGCTAACCTGTTTAACCCCGCCACATTCTGTATGTGCCTGTCCCAAGTCAGGAGCCTGTAATTCAGTGGTTGTCGATCGTTTGTTGTTGTATATCATATTTGTTTTTCATTCATTATTTTGTACATAAATCAGGCCGTTAGTTTTCTCGTTTGAATTGTTTAACATTTGTCATTTCGGGGCCGTTTATAGCTGACTATGCGGTATGGGCTTTGCTCATTGTTGAAGGTCGTACGGTGACCGATAGGTGTTAATTTTTTTATGTCATTTGGTCTCTTGTGGAGAGTTGTCTCATTTGCAGTCTTCTTATTTTTATATTGACAATGCTATATAACAAAATACGAAAACGAGGAAGACAAATAATAGTGATAATAAAAGTCAGGCTAAATACTGATTATAGATTTTATCAATATTGTAAAAGTCAGTGTACTATATTTTCAGATTTATTACTGAGTTTTACAAATGATAATTGAAAAGGGACAAAACAAACCTTTGTCCCACTTGTGCCCTCATGTTGAGGCTTAGGGTGACAAATACTGTAAATTCGAGGGAAGAAATGGATTTAAGAAAGAGGAAAATAGTCTGAATATGGTCACCAATAAGTACCTGTAACTTTAAACCTTCTAATAAAAAAAAATCGGTACACCTGATTTAAGATCAAGAAATAGTACAATGGCAGATAGAAAAGTAGTCCAGAGAAAGATTTGCAAGATGTTTCTGACAGTATTAAAGAGTGACTGACTAAGTAATTATTTTAAATGAATGAGATTATTTTTAGCTCGTGTAAGTGTTATTAAATGTTATATATTTTCTTGCAGATGAGAATAACATGGTGCACACCATCTCCAATTCTGCCTGCAAGTCTTGGATTGGTTAGATTTGCCTTTAATGAAATAAAAAAAAATTACCATTACATCTTATTTTTTCTATAAACTAGAACTGATGTGTAGCTTTTATCTATAAATATGAATAAACACAAAACTACAGGCTCTCCCTAATCATATGTCATTGACTGGTACAAAGTTCTATAAAACAATTTGTTTTACATATTTTCCATTGGCGTCTCTTATGAAACAAACTACTGGAATATCTGGTTTCATTACTGTAGCAGTTCGCAAGAAACGTAAGCTTTTTTGTCATATTTGGTCACAAATGGTTCTAGGAGATCTTTCAGTATACCTTTCAAACGTTTCAGTATAAACTAATTCCCAGACTATGGCAATATTTACAAAGAACTAAAACCAGACTTTAATAGATTCAGTAGAAAATTAAAACTGTCCTGCCAGGCTTATTGGTCGACTAACTGATAACATGAAAGCAAAAAAAAACTATAACCTTATAATAGAAATTTCTGGTTTCTATTGATTTGGGTGTTTCTGTAGAAGTGTTAGTACATATTTCTCATATAATCCAAGAGAAAATTCTTCGGACATTCATTTTTCTTATGGCCATAACATGTGACCGTTTCTGGAAAAACAAGATTAATTCAATACCATGAAAGATATTGATTGATGTGTTTCCCTCGGTTTTAGTTTGTAACCTGGATTTGTTTTCTCTCAATCGATTTATGACTTTTGAACAGCGGTATACTACTGTTGCCTTTATTTATTGTTCATGATCTTAATAAATTATCAATATGAATAGTCACGATTCCAGTATATGCAAAGACTAAGAGATAAGCTAGAGTATAAAAACAGAAAATCAAGCTATTTTACTTCTTGTTGTGGTATGTAAGTTAACATTCATAATAATACCCCAGTTTTGGTTAGGATTTATACTCTTCCAATACCTTTAGTTCGTGTTTTTGTGCTCCTCTTCTTCTTTACATTTGAAATGACCGATTGTTTGTGTCTCTACCTTCAAATATCATTACTTATGAGCATTATTGAGAATACGCACTAGTTGCATTTGAGGTGTTTGTCTTTCCTCATAATAATCATAAGAATCTTTTGGTGCCATTCCGGGAAAGAATCCAGCAAAGTTGTGTATGTCACGTAATAAAAATTGTTAGAACATATACATTATATCTACCTTATACTAACTAGAACTTGGGGTTGAAGAGCTTGCAATTGTTTTAATTTGTTATAGTAAAAGAGAACAAGAAAATTATTAAAAGAGTTGTAAATATATCAAACATTTTTTCCTCTCTCTAATTGGCCATCAGTTCAAGGACATACACCACCTATATTCCCCAACTGCTTAATTAACGAATGACAATTATTTCTGTAAGGTCCTTGTTCACCTTCCTTGTTAAAAGTTTGAAAATATTAGTTTCGTAATATTAATTACATAAATTATAATAAATATCGTCAATATGCTCAATTTTCCTTGTTTGCAATGCATATAAAAATACAGTATCCATTATTTAGAAGAGCTACGTGTTTTCAGTTACTAGTATAAAGGAACAGCCGAAAAAGGAGAAGATAACTATATATAGGGTCAATAAAAAACATGTTCAAGAAATAAAATGACAACGACTTGGCTATATAAACGTCAAAAAGTTACACAGCAGCACTCAAAACACTACGCAGAAAAATGGGTAAATACTGAAAAACAATGTATAACAAAAAATACAGAACTCTAAGGTATTAAACACATAAGGACGCCACCGAAAACCAGGGGGTAAATAATGGCATTCCAGAAGGGTAAGCAGTTCCTGTTTTTCTTTGATCATGCCAAGTAAACATCTGGTGATAACCATTCGGTATGTCAAAATCGAGGAAAGAAGACTTGATTGAGAATACGACAAGTAGAACATATACGTAAAAGAGAGGCGATAGAAACCAAGGCGACATTCAAACTCATAATTTGACGACGCCATGGCTTAAAACAAAAAAGACCAAAGAGACAAATAACAGGATACATGTATAAAACACAACATAGAAAACCAAAGACCGAGAAAAACGAGTCTCACCAAAAACCCTGGGGTGATATCAAGTGCTCCGGAAGCGTAAGTAGATCCTGCTCCACACCTGGCGCCGGTCGTGTTGCTCATGTAAGTACAAACCTGGTGATAAATCTAATTCGGTTGGTCACATTCGGGGAAAAGGGGACGGAATTGTAGTTACGACAATTGGAACATTTCCGTCGTCATCTGTGAAACAGAAATTCCATAATGGTCAACCAACTCGTGATGGCGTCCGTAAAATTTTCGAATGGATGATTTCAACTTCACCACTTGGAACTCTTGGTTTAGTAGCTTCCTTGTGAGCAGCAACCCTCTATCAAGGAAATCATGATATGAAATGCAAACCCTGTGATATCGCATCAATTAGGAGATATATATGCAATATGCAGGCGCTGCTGGAATGTTGCTAGAGAAATGAAAAGTTCAGAATTAGTAGCTGAAATCGTCTCTTGTGTCGTAAAGTTTAAGTTTTGTTCTCATTCACCCTCATTGTCAATTTCTAGATGTGAGTGAAGTTATGAGACAGATTTAACTGTATTAATTTTGTAACAGTGTATCCTTTATATTAAGTTCAATGGGATGGATGTAATTAACTTAGTCACCAAATTTTAAATTATTCTGAGAGAGGACATCATCATCATAGCAGAATGCGAAGTTAAAGGCTAATTCATCCTTCTTTTCCATCTTCTTAAAAAGCTCCTTAATATAAAGTCTGCCTCGAACGAATAAATAATCAAGTCAGTACAAAGGGGAGCACTGTTTGATCCGATAGGATTTTTTAAAGTTAATAAATATATGCTATATATATAAATGCCTAAGAATGTAACTTTAACATGCTAATGAGTGTTATTAAAATAGTTGTTATATCTTAATTTTTCACGCAATAATTCGCTAGACAAACTAGCTTCACCAAGTGTGTACAGCCATCCAGTTGAATTCGGATGTTCATTAGAAATTTTTGAAACTTATCGTACATTTCGTTCAAACAGATATAATTGTGTTGTTTACATTGTTACAGTATTGAATTCACGATTTATGAAAAACAAAAACGGTAATTCATCTCTTTCATTGAGTCCATCGAAGTCCTGAGTACGTAGCTGGTGCATTCAAATCTGTCCTTGTTTTCTACCTTGTGTGTCCTAGTTTTGGTTGATGTCTATTATTTGAAAGGTGATGTTTTCAAAAGAAAGTGTTAAAGCATTCTTGGGCATTTATATAATCTAATTTTGTAACTGCATATGTTTATTTTCAAATTAATCCACGACAAGATAGACTGATAGTGGATTGTTGCTATTTTCAGACTTTATATATTATATAGAAATAGCAAAAATATAAATGTTTTGACATAAAAGAATAGCTTCAAGTGTCAAGTTTAACTCATCAATATCAGATACTCTTCACTAGCACTATCTTTTGATAAAGATTTTTGATTGGGACAAAGCCAATGCAACAGAACGTGAACCTCCCACTGGACACCCGTGTGTAGCTCAGATGTCCAAACATACAGTAAGTACACTTGAGTAGAAATGTATATACATAAAAACGCCAAATTGCATAAACGTCGCTTACTTTCTTACATTTTTATCAAAAACTAATTCAATTATTTCCTGATCAAATTCTGAATCATTGCATGTTTTTGATGTTCATATTTCATATTTATGCAATCATTGTCTCCTGGATAACGCAATTTGCTCTGCTTATAGTGGAGTGACAAATCGGAAAAAGTCGCTTCTTTAAAGAGTTTAATGGACCGAAATACCTCACGGCTGAAAATTCGCATGAAGATAGAGTAAACATTATTCTTTCATTTTAGCCATGTCGTAGAGTTTTCCCACGGTGCAGTTTTTTGTAAAATCGCGTTATAAAGTGTGATTTTCGGATTTTTTTCTTTTTCACACGGGAACGCTTATAATAAATTTCCGAATGAAGATATCATCAAAAAATTGGTATCAGATGAAAGAGTGATGCATCAGCTTTTATTTGACATCAAACTTAAATATCATATGAACATTGAGTGAATTGGACGATTTTCAAGTGTATGTAATATTTTTTTTAATCTTACCGTCTGTCAAAGTATATTACATTTCTTATATATATCACCAATAGTAAATTTTCACACAAAAAAGTGGAACAACTAATAATAAAGAAGTTTTGATATATAGAAGTCTGATAGAACATACAAATCAACTTTTACAAGCATTTTTATAAAACTAAACACATAACAGTATTACTTCTCAATTTGCACCCCAATAAGTCATGTAACGTTCCCCTTTCCTATTTTCCCCTGTCATATGAAATGCAGTTAATTTAATATGCATTTTCTTACGTTTTATTAAAAAGAATATATATTTGTATCAATATTTGTGTCTATGTGCTTGAATAAGTACCGATGCTAAGGTTTAATAACTTTTGAGGTGCTTTTATTCTTGTTTTTCGAAAAGACTAATTTTAAACCACATTGGAACAACTCCGAAAAAATTCCGGAAAATTATTAATAGCACTTATTCCATTTACTAAGAACAAGTAAAGTAGCTTAGATCGTGTTATTAACCCTTTACATGTCAAAGAAGAAAACATTTTCATACATTTGAATTAGTGAAAAAAACCATGCGTGTAATGATGAATCAACTTTCGTTTAAACACGCTTCATGACATTACCATGAATGCCATGACACTGGTAAAAAATGTCTATTCTGGAGGCAAAAGTCATACAAGCTAAGCAATTAAGGCATGTCAAGTCATTTGAGTGCCGATATTGTTTTAAATGACGCAAATTATCAGGCAGGCCATCCAGTGGTAAGTTTATAGATATAATTATTAAGAAGATGTGGTATGAGTGCCAATGAGACAACTCTCCATCCAAGTCAAAATTTATAAAAGTAAACCATTATAGGTCACAGTACGGTCTTCAACACGGAGCCTTGGCTCACACCGAACAGTAAGCTATAAAGGGCCCCAAAAATTACTAGTGTAAAATCATTCAAACGGGAAAACCAACCGTATAA